GTAAATAGAGGCGTGTGGAGTAAGAAAACTAGCCAAATGTTTCGCCCTGCCGGGAATCAACAACAACAACAACAACAAGATTCCATTTATAGAGCGCCTTTCACGTCAGGAGGACGTCCCAAGGCGCTGCACAGTTGGGTCATGACCCGAGCAGGGGGGAAATGGTCAGGGTGAGGGGAGGGAAGGGAGGGAGAGAGGAGGGGGAAATGGTCAGGGTGAGGGGAGGGAAGGGAGGGAGCGAGGAGGAGGAAGAGAGTCGAGAGGGGAGCTGAAGGCACGGTCAAAGAGAAAGGTTTTGAGACCGGCCTTGAAGGAGGAAAGGGAGGAAGCAAGGCGAAGGCACTGGGGGATGGAGTTCCAGAGCCTCGGGGCTGAGAGGCTGAAGGCCCGACCACCGATAGTAGGGCGGTTGGGGCGGGGGACGTGGAGCAGACCAGAGCCAGAGGAACGGAGGGTACGGGCAGGTAGGTAGGGGGATAGTAGGTTGGAGAGGTAGGAGGGAGCAAGGCCGTGAATGGCCTTGTAGGTGAGGATGAGGATCTTGAAATCAATCCTCTGGGGGATGGGGAGCCAGTGGAGGCGAGCGAGGGTGGGAGTGATGTGGTCCCGAAGCCTGGTGCGGGACAGTACACGAGCTGCAGAGTTCTGAATGACCTGCAGCTTAATGACCTGATGAATCGAACCCAATCCTCTCGCTTGTGAGGCGAGCGCTCAAACCACTGAGCTACAGGACTCCACAATGGAATCTTAAAATGTAAATAGGGGTATAGAATATAAAAGCAAATATATACATGTATATAAATTGTTAGTTAGCCCGCAGTCAGAATATTAACAGTATTGGTCACCCCACTTTAGGACAGATGTCAAGGTAAAGAAGGGGTGAGAGGAGATTTGCTAGGATGTCACTGCGGCTGAGGGGTTTGGCCTATGAGCGGAGACTGGAGGAACTTTCACTGGAACAAAGAACGTTCATAGGGACCTAATACAGGTCTTTAACATAAGGGATTTTGATAGAATCAGTAGGGAGAAATTATTTCCACTGGTTGATGAATCAGTAACTAGAGGTTAAGATAATTAAAGTTAATTCAAGGTAAACAAGCAAACAGGGAGGTAGTAGAAATGTTTTCACACACAGGGTGTTTAGGGTACGCAACGCTCTGCTGGGAGAGTGGTTCAGACAGAATCCATATTAGACTTCGAGAGATAACTAACCAAATACTTTGAAAAAAGTCTGATTCAGAGATGTGGGGAAAGGGCAGATAAGTGACTCTGAGAGGATTGCTCTGAAGGGAGCAGCACAGACACGATGGGTCAAATGGCCTCCTTCTGGGCGTAAATTTCTTTGGTTCTAAAACCAAATGCTCTCTTGCAATAGGGCTCTTTAGATTGTCAGATCGAACTAGTTATATAAGATTATTATATTATTATATACAATTATAGATGCTAACAAACAAATGTCTGGCAAATGTGTTAAACGGGTAATGTAAAACCTACAGATTCTGCCATGACTTGTGAGAGGTGTTACTGTTACAGAAACATTTCTCTTGTTTCACTCCTGAATACGCAGAGTTCTTGTCATGACAAATACCATGCAATTAAAGCCATGCAACTCTCAGGCTTCTGAGGAAATATTCCCATCACTTGGAATGTTTGGCGTGAAGAGAGGCTGAATGGCAGCAATTCACCCATTTCCTTGTGTTGATTTCTGGCAGGAAACCAGAGAAAGAAAAGGCTCAGTGTGTTCATCAGAAAATACTCTCCCAGGGCCAGACCAAGAAGCTAATATCAGCCCCACCTACACGCTAACCACACATTACCCACATGCTAGCCACACGCTAAACCTCTCATTCCCGGTATTATCCTGGCCAACAATTCCCCAGATAAAATTGGTCATTCACTTCATGGCTGTTTGTGAGACAATGTTATGTATTTTGGCTGCTGTGTTTGCCAACAAATACACAGTTGCTACAGTTCCTTGTCATATTCCTTTAATATAACAACTATAACATAGTTGTTATATTAAATGCAAGGATTATTACATTCTTACAATACATATATTGCATAATATACACCTGAACTCCTCTCCCACTCCTCACCAACCCCAGACCAAGTAATTATTTCTAGCTAGAAGTGCACAATTGGCTGCCACGTTTCGCCCAACAGATATGCAGTAACTACACTTTACAGTGTATCCTGTGGAGCACTTTCAGACATCTTGACGATGTGATAAGGCGCATATGAAATGTAAGGATTATTATTATTATATCCTTATTATTTCACACTGATCACCACAATGGGGTTACCATTATAAAGACGTAGAAAAAGATCAAAGAGTGATCTGCTAAAAGCAGTAAATCAGAAGCGCTGAAATGTAATTAATGGGGAGGTTGGACTGTCACCAATGTACAGAACACTCGTCACTGAGCAATAAAAACAACTTGCTGCCTGACTTGAGCTCTGAAAAATTAAAGTTTTGATTCAGAATTATAAAAAGTTATCCTTATATTAGTTGAGAAATACTAGAGCCAAGTGTCAATCTTAAATAGAAACAAATGTACAAGTGGTTCAGGTTCTAAAACAAAAACAAATAGGGAACGAGAAATTCAGGCCCAGTGAGGGTTCCGCCCGGCAGGTTTGGGGTGTTGTTTAATTTTAATTAAAGCTTCATGAAAGGCTCCTCCACAAACTGTGATCACTGGATATCAAGGGCAAGACATGGACATGGATCAGAATTGGCTGAAGGGAAGGAAGCAGAGAGTGTTTGTTAGGGGAGCAGATTACAAAGGGGAGAGGGACTAAACAGGAGCCTCAGGTCAGTATTGGGACCCTCCTGTTTCTCATATATATTCATGACCTGGACTGTCAGATTCAGTGTAAGTTACATTTACAGATGACACCAAGTTGGGGAGAAACTGTGCAATCAGAGGAAGCAGCAAAGGTCCTACAAAAAGAGCTCGGTAGGGTGTGCACATGGGCTGATAACTTGAAAATGAAGTTTAATACTGATAAATGCAAGGGACTGCATATAGGATCCAGTAATAGAAGCACAAGTACTGCATGGATGGTACTGAACCTGAATTTAACTGACATCCTAAAAATATAATATGTTCTGATAAGCAACAACTTGCAATCACAATCTTATTTCAATACAGATTCCATTTGATTTAAAAAATACAAGCAGATTAATGACAGACTAACTAGTCTGATAGAAGAGCCATTCCAGACAGCCATGCATTGCACAGAAAGTAATGCTGACATTTATAACAAGTTGTATTCTAATAAATGTCTTTAATTTCAATTTCATTTAGCACTTGAATGTGTCGAACCAGGGCTAAACAATTGGTAAAATTGTTCATTCATTTCACTGCTCTGTTTGTGGGATGTTTCTTTGTTTTGCCCACAAAATACAGTCACTACACTTTACAGTGAAGACTGTGAAGCACTTTGGGAAATCTTGACAAGGTGATAAAGTGCTATATCAAATATTGGGATTATTACTTATTATATTAACTTTCTGAACTCTTCCAATCGTCTGTGCTAATTTTGCTTCAATAACATTTAGAGGAGACATTAAACTGAGGAGTCCTCCACCTGCTTCAGTTTCTGTAGCTCGAATGTGGAGCTGAGGAACAAGTGACAAACCGTCCATGGGGTAAACACAAGCATATCTTCCCCAAACATCCCTCTACCCTCCTCTCTTAAAATCTGCAGCATATAAACAGAATTCCAAATAAAATATTAAAATACATTTTCAGACAAAAAAACATATTCAGAGCAACTTTCAACCACCTCAGATATTCTCTTGCACCCACCACCTCCCTCAATCCTCCTCCACTCCTCCCGTTATAGATTCCAGCAAATTCATTGCAATATGGACACACGGGAGGAGAGTTCTTGTTTAGCTAACACTGAACAACTTGCCAAGCTCCTGCCTTGAATGATCTGCTGAACTTTCTTCCCCACTCAACCCAGATCAACAAGGCATCAACTAATTACATATCGCCTCACATAGAAGGGTAGGATCCAGTTCGCAGGAACAAACTCCGTTTGTATTGAGGAACTGAAGATTCGTTCTGATTTTGTCATTCAACTGACCTGCAACTCCTCAATTCCCCAATATAGTGTGGGCAGTTGTCTATAAGGTGGAGCCCTGTAGCTCAGTGGTTAGAGCACTCACTTTGCGAGTGAGAGACCTGAGTTCAATTCCAGGCAGAGAGCGAAACCTTGGGCAAGTTTCCTTACTCCACACAGAGCCTAATAATAATCCCTCCAAAAAAAACAATAATAAATTGTTCATTTTCAATCCATGACTGTTTGTGGGACATTGCTGTGCACAATTGGCTGCCCAAGTTTCTTCCACAAACATACAGTCAATTCACTTTATAGTATATTCTGTGAAGAGCTTTGAGACGTCTAGAAGACGTGAAAAGCGCTATATCAAATCCAAGGATTATTATTATTATTATTATTATAAGGTTACTTTAATTGCATAGCCAAATAGGACCAAGGCCCAAAATAGTAAACTAAACACAGCATGCTGCAAATCAACTCAAGACTTAAAAATATCATAGATAGCGGATACAATTCATTGACTGTTTGTGGGACACTGCTGTGCGCAATTGGCTGCCGCGTTTCACCCACAAAATATACAGTCAATTCACTTTACAATATATTCTGTGAAGCACTTTGAGACATCTCGAAGATGTGATAAGGCTATCAAATGCAAGGATTATTACTATTATTATTATTATTATTATAATAACCTTACAGTTTAAGACCAAATGGTAGTCTCCCAGGCTGAGGTTCTCTGTAAACATCAGGCCCAATCTTATTCAATCACCTTCAAATACTTCCCTGAAGATGGAGAAAATCCCTTCAGAAAATAGGAGGGGAACTTTGTTGTAAAAACTACTAACAATCAGAGAGGATTTCTACCTTCTAAATCTTACAACAGGATCTAGCAAGAGAGAAAGAGATGGTCATGAGAGTGATCAACCTACTGTGATAAAGGATTTACAGGAAGGAAGAAGTCTTGTTCGCAGTCCTGCCGAAGTGTCTGTGTTCAACACAGCAAATCAATGCTTCTCATATACCTCACCAGTGGACTTTCATCTGCATTACATATGATATAAAAGACTCTCAGCAGTTAATGAACTTTTACAACCTCTAGAAATAAGGCTGTAATTCGCTGCTGATAGACAATCTGTGAGGATAAACCCAGCTCACTCCCTTCAATTGACGTAAGTGAACTATTCCTGACGGGTTGGATCGCAGGTCAAAACTTTTACAACTTTTCATCTGAGATCATCGCTCGTCAGGTCCACTTTCAAACTCGAATCTGCAGTGACCAGATCACCAATCACTGCCGCCAATGGCCCCATCTATAACCTGTCAATGCCGTACACTAGATGGTAATTACAGGTTTGTGGATCACATTTTAAATCATTGAATTTTTTGGACAATCAATTTGTGGAATTGATCCAGTTTGGTTTGGTTGGTCCTCCCCATGCCCTGTCCCTTCCCCCTCTCCCCCCCTTATTTGACTCCAGTGATCAGGACCCCAGTCTGTCTACCTGGGAGGAAATGCTGTCCAGACAGGGAGGGTTTCACTGGTTAAATTCTCATCGGCTTCAAGACAACAGCAGCATCTTCACCAACCAACAAACATACAGTGAAAGGAAAATTTCTCACTTCACATCAGCCGTAATACAATCAGCCGCCCAGCTAAACCCTACAGGAAGGGGCATGACCCTTCCTTATATATTTCCCCCCCACACACACAAACACCCCGTCACTCTCTCACACTCACTCACTCTCATACAGTCACTCACTCTCACAGTCACTCACAATAAAGCTTTTGCTGTGAGACTTGTCATGTTCCCGAGGATTTCCACACAGCAACAAGAGAAAGCGATTCGCTTAAAAAGTTTTACAAAACTTTAAAATGAAGGTAAAAGTTTTCAACTTTAGTGAACGCACCTGCAGCCTCTGGTCTCTCTCTGGTTATGATTTGGGCGGGGGGGGGTCTATTACTGTGCTTGTTCCTGTGTCATTTTCCAAGTTGCTATTTGGGATTGTGAGGACAATCGACATTCACAGAAATGTCTGTCTCCTGGAGCTGCCAGGCTTTGCTGCTGTTGACCTCAGGAGAACTCAACCCCTAAATCCACTTTCTCCTCTCAAGTCAACAACCACAGACTGACACACACACACACACACAGACACACGCAGACAGACACAGACAGACACACAGACAGACACAGACAGACACACACAGAGACACACACACACAGAGACACACACACACAGAGACACACGCAGACAGACACAGACAGACACAGACAGACACAGAGACACACACACACAGAGACACGCAGACAGACACACACAGACACACAGAGACACACACACACAGAGACACACGCAGACAGACACAGACAGACACACAGACAGACACACACACACACAGAGACACACACACACAGAGACACACGCAGACCGACACAGACAGACACACAGACAGACACACAGACAGACAGACACAGACAGACACACACAGACAGAAACTGACACACACACAGAGAAACACACACACAAAGACACACGCAGACAGACACACACACAGACAGACAGACACAGATAGACAGACACAGACAGACACACACGCACATAGGGTTTCCAAGTGTCAGCCCCCCCACACAAACACACACTGTCTGATCACTAGAGAGAAAAAAAGGATCAAAATAATTAGCTTGCAAGCCTTTTTTAGGGGGAATAATCAAGCAATAAAGCAGGAAGAAGAGATCACCAGTCTAACTTCCCAAACCAGAAACCAACTGACAGTAACAGCCCTGACACACTCACTGCCTTGCTCTCTCTCTCTCTCTCTCTGTATTCCCCCCACCATGTAGCTCGGTATTTTAGGATGACATGTTAGCTACATACTGGGGGAAGGGGGAACAGACCAACTGCAACTCAGACAGAAACATACCTGCCATGTCTTCAACTTTAGTTCGTAAAAACTACAACTTCATTAAAATCTTCCCACAAAAAAGGGCAAATGCCAGATGGAAAATACCAAGTGTCCGGATCTGGGATAACATCCTGCAGCAGGTCCCAATCTCCCCTCCTCTCCCCTCCCTCCCTATTGCCCTCAACACAGGCGACAACAGCAAAAACACAGCACAGTTTGGTATCATATTAAACCATTTAGTCGGTACCATGGTCTGATGGCGAGGCTGATGGGGAAGTGCTCCAATGTGCTATTATCATGGAGCCACACAGCCAGGGAAAGGTTAACGCATTGATCTGATTAGTTGGCTTTCGTTTGGCTTCAGTGTCACCAGGTAACTAAATATTGCTTGGATTGAAATCTTGCCGCCTCCCGTTTGGGAACATCCCCAAACCAATCGATTCTGCAATTAATAACCGATTAATTTAATCATTTTTGTAAATCTCCCCCCCCCCCCAGCCTTAAGATCTTTCTTTCCAACTGTGTTTTGGTCACTTCTTGCCCATCCCCACTTGGGCTTCCACTGAACCCTGTGAAGCACTTTGAAGTGTCCTCCTGACCTGAGAGGTTCTGTATAATTTTAAATTGCTGTTACTTTTAATTAAGGACATTTGTAATTCCCTTTGCACACACATTTAACACAAGCCACAAATTAGACCCCAAGATTTAAAAGAAACTAAAATGCAAATGTGAGACAGTTTCACTTTAGACAAATATTCTTTCAACCCTAAATCCATTTCCTGCCCTGGACACACATCAGCATCAGTATGACACCTTCATCAGTAGTCAGATCTGTTTGGAACTGCCATAGAATCAGTATTTACAAACATACATTTACACAGATTATTACAAGAACCGTGATTCCTTCACAACTGAGAGGTCTTTAACAGATAACTTTTTCCCTAACTGTATCTTACCATGGCCTTTTTGTAGCTTGCCCCAGTGGACAGATATTACATAAGAACATAAGAAATGCTGGACAAATAAAGACCAAGGTCCATCTAGTTTGCCTTCCACCTTCTGGTGGTTGCCTGCACATATGTCCCAAACTCCCTGTGTACTGTATCCTATAATGTTATTTCCTAAAACAAAACTATCTAATCTGTGTTTGAAAGAATCAACATTTCCTGCTTCAACTGTTTCCCTAAGGAGCCTGTTCCACATGTTCACTATTCGCTCACTGAAATCGTGTTTACGTAGATTTGTTCTTAATTTCCCCCCCTTCAGTCGCAGGCCATGTCCTCTGGTTTTACTATTCTGGACTAGTTGAAACAGCCCGTCATGATCTATATTGTTTTACCCCTTTAGAATCTTAAGGACAGCAATCATGTCACCCCTCAATCTTCTCTTTTCCAGCGTGTACATACCCACTTTACTTAGTCGCTCCTCAGAGTCCAGTCCCTCCATTCCTTCAATCATTTTGGTTGCCCTCCCTCCTCTGTATCCTCTTGATTTCTCCAATATCCTTTTTATGCTGCGATGAACAGAACTATACACAGTATCTAAGTACGGTCTCACCAATGATTTATAGTGGCAGGATTACCCCATTTCAGTTTGCTATTGATCCACCCCAACATCTGGTTTGCTTTACTCACTACCACAGAGCACTTTTGGGAAAACTTCAATTTACTGTCAATCAGGACCCCCAGGTTCTTTTCATTTTCCATACACATTATTTTCTTTCTGTTCAAATAATAGTCCCTTCCAGGATGTTTGTCCCCATACAAAGTACTTTACATTTCTCTACATTTAATTTCATCTGCCAACGATCTGCCCAATTCCCAAGCATGTTCAAATCCTTCTGTAACCTATCTTGTTCAGCTTCACAATCTACCTCTTCATTAGCTTGGTGTCATCTGCAAACTTAACCACTGTGCTTGCGACTCCTAGTTCCAGATCATTTATAAAAATACTAAACAAGAGGTCCCAAAACAGATCCTTGTGGAACTCCACTGGTAACATTTTTCCAGCCTGATGACATTCCCTGTACCACCATCCTCTGGGTTCTTCCGGTCAACCAATTGTGTATCCATTTTAATATACCTCCACTGATTCCCGCTTTCGTTACTTTCAATACCAGCTTCTCAAGAGGAACTGTATCAAAGCCTTACTCAAACTCAGATATACAACATCCACAACCGTACCGTTACCAAGCTCCCTTGTCACACCGTCAAATAAAACCAATAAATTAGATTGGCAAGACCTTCATGAACCCATACTGGATCTCATTTATGATTTTATTTCTGTCCAAATGCTTCATGATTTTATTCTTAATAAGTCTCCATAATTTTACCAACAATGGACGTCAAACTTACTGGTCTGTAGTTTCCTGAGTCACTTTTACCTTTCTTAAAAATAAGAGTAACATCTGCCTTTCTTCCAGTCCCCTGGCACCTCTCCTGCACTCAGTGATTTTTGAAAGATTTGTGCCAGTGTTTCTGCGATTTCCTCCTTTAGTTCCTTAAGGATCCTCGGATGCAATTTATCCAGCCCCTGAGATTTATTTACCTTAAGTTTAAATAGCTATTTGGCAACCATGATATGATACCATCATAGTGATATGAATAGTGTCGCAACTTCCATCTCGGTTTTGAATTACTGTTTTCTTGAAATTCTAAGAGTCCAATGTTGTAATTATAATCCTTGCATTTGCTTAAGCACATTGTCAAGGTGAATCAAAGCATTTCACAGGATATACAGTAAAGTGGATTTGACTGTGTCTTTTGTGGGTAAAATGCAACATTCATGGAGGGTGTGCCCAATTTGGGGAATTTGTTGACCAGGACAGAAAAACTCCTCCCTTTTTTTCCCCAATAGTTCCAAAAGAGCAGACAGTACTTTGGTTTAACGCCTGATCCAAAGGTAGGCAGTCCGACCCCCCAGGACGGCTTATATAAAGGCATTACTTACATGCTCTCATGGTTAGCCGGCAGTCCCCATCACTCAATCCCCTTTGTATTTATTCAATAACTAAGCATTTCCTTGTGACAAGGTTCAAGTTTGCATTTAAGAACATTGTCATGGTACAAGCCTTTATCTTATTGTTGACTGCTGGGTTGGTAGTGGAGGAAACTGTGTGTGCATAACCTGGCTATGCACCCTGTGGTCTGCTGTAGATCACATTAGCTGAATCCTTGCCTCATGACTATGAAATCAAGAAATGCTGATTAAGACCAGGGCATTCTTTATTTGTCAGATACCCTTTCAAAGTCCAAAACATTAGGAAAGCAAGCAATATTTATGGATATCAATCACCAGAAAGGAAGGCGATGTCAGGGAGCAATTCAGGGGGGAAGGAGTAAGCAAATTCCTTTGCAGTGATGTGCTCATTTTGAGTCAATACTCATTCTTGCATTTGAAATAGCACCAACAATAAATCAAAATATAATAATCCTTGCGTTTGATATAGCGCCTCATCACGTTTTTGACACGTCTCAAAGTGTTTCACAGGGTATACTATAGTGCAATGACTATATTTTGTGGGCAAAACAAAAATATCTCAAAATGCACCACACAGACCAGCAAGGCTAGTTAACAAATTTAAAATGGTCAGCAAGAGAAACTGTGGACACCTGAACCTGAACAAAGCCTACTTGCCCCCTCTCTCACCTTTTTCAAGTCCCGCCTGGAAAGCTTCCTTTTCGACTGTGCTTAATCACCCCAACCACCCCCCACCCAGAGTCAGGCTCCACCACTGTTAAGCAGAGACTCTTATCCTTGTGTGGAGGGCGCCTATAAGTGCAAGTTGTTGTCGATGTGGGGCTGGGGTGCACAACATGCACTCAAGTTGCCAAATCAGGACAGGGAGCATCACAGCTGTGCTCCAAACTGAATGAAGATCATTACATTTCAAGATCAATGGCTTGAAGGTTGAAGTAAAGGAGTGACTTATTTCAGCAAATAGGATGCAAAACACCACCAAATGTGGAAGACAAAAGCAATTATTAAATGCAGGAAATTTTCTTGAGTGAACCCGATAGTCTAGAATCTATATTATACATTATCAGGAAGAGATAAAGGCTGACTGCCTTTAACCTGAAATTCACATTAACTATGAACAATTAAAATGACAATACACCACCAGGAAGTGACGTTTAACCAAATGTTTTCAATGTGAGAGCTTAATGTCTGAGTACTTCTGTGGTGCACAATTCCCATACAGAAGTTCATTGATTTCTCAGCTGTACTTAAAGAATGCTCAACATTTAATACTTAAAAACAACTTTAATTTCAACTTCCAAAAGATAAAAAAAAGTATTTAACTGCAGATAAAACATGAAGAGGAATCGGTTGTCAGCAAATATATACACGAGACAAACTAAGACAGGCAAGCTAGAGAACAAGATTCTTTTCTAGAACAGTAGTCACCGATCCTGACTGCAGAACTCATTCTCAGGATAGGGCTCCATGGTGCTGGTAACACTTCAGAACTTCACCCAGTTACCACTGATCATGGATTAATGCAGATAATGGGTGTTGATAGTTATTAATCTATGGGGGTAAAGAATTTTACAGCCAGGCCTAATATTGCTCTCACTCGATCTCTAAATATATACTTTTAGACAGGTGTAGGTTCTCAATGTGTTTTCCTATCCATAACCCTGGAATGCCGAGACACAAGACATAATAATGGGCGAAACATGGCAGCCAACTGCACACAGCAGTGTCCCACAAACAGCCATGGATTGAGTGACCAAATGTTTTTTTTAAAAAAAGGAGTTAGTGGAAAAGTGATCCACTAATTGACTCACAACCGGGTTCCCACTAGTAATCAAAGCTGGAGTTTCCCGTCTACACTATGTGAGCCACCAGGGATATAAGAATACAATTAAAATCCAATCAAAATATGTCATCGTATGACTCCTCCAGGTACTGAATAAGCTTTCTTGCACGCCCAGGTCTTGCAGCACGAGCATCAAGATTTATGGATGAATTGGAATCTTCGTCAATATGGAAACTCTCATCTTCCAGATTCTTGGATTTCTGTGAAGCAAAAGAAAACATTTAAATATATAGGCAGTTTACTCTTGTCTGTATGTTGGGAGCTTATCATTAAGACTGTAAGAAAATCACAGGCTGCTAATTTGTTGCAGAAACCACAACTTGCAATGAGTACAAATCAGTGCTTCCATGTGTATGTACTTCCATTGGACCATTTACCTGTCCATCAACCCACCCAATATTCTTATTGGACCACCAGCCTGTCCATTAACCCATTCTGCACTCTGTTCTCATTGGACCATCCACGTGTCAATAGATTCCTCACACCATCCAAAGCTTTGTTCGAGTAAATCATTTCTCAAGTCACAATCGCAAACAATCAGTAAACAGCATAGGACAATGGTTTCTTAACTGTAAACTGCTCAATTCAACACACACAATTAGACTTTTATGTGCTATTATCTGTCCTTACATACTTGTACAATCAGGTTCCTGCTTACTGTTAGGTAAACAGAGGCGCGTGGAGTAAGGAAATAACACACATTAGATGGTTGCAAAAAAAATTACAAAAAAAAGGCTCACAACCTCCTGCCCCAGGGCACAGCAATGCACACAGACACTGAGATCCAGAGAGAGAGTTGGCTGAGTGGCCCCAGCCATCTCTTGTTTTTGTTTCAGATTTCCAGCATCTGGAGTATTTTGCATTTTATTTTAGTATAAACAGAAATGTGTTGAATATAATTTATTTTCCCATCTTTTTCTGCTTACTTAGAATTTAAAAATATTTGCCTCAAACATGCAACCCCCTTCCCCCACCCACACACAGAATCTTGGAGGCTATAAAACTAAAAGTTTTCAATGTCTCTCCCCGCGACCCCACTACCACAATTCAGCAACACCGATCCAGACTTTACCAATGCAATGCAAATAAGATGAAAATGTTGTATTAAAGGCAGCTAATAAATTGGCCAACGTGATCTTAAGAATCCAGAATGGTTTAATCCTGGTCAAACTTTTGGCTGTTGAAGGCTGGATGCTGGATTTGAGAAATGTTCACCGGCCTTCCAGAAACACATTTACACATCGCCTTTTCCATGTCAGTAAAACGTCTCAAAGTGCTTGATACCGTCGGTGGCTGGGCACCCGAGCTGGGGGCGGCAGCCAAGGGAGGTGGGCCGGGAGGGTGAAAGATGAACGAAAGTGCAGTCAGTTACATCTCGATGTTAAGAGGGGAGCGAGTGAGCGGAAGACTCTGGGAATGGAGCTCCAGTGTGTGCTGGGCAAAGGGAACGGGAGACAGCAGAGGTGGTGGGGGCGGGCGATTAAGGCCGTAGATGAGTTTCTCACTGGGGGAGGAACCTACTGGTCTCCATGGGACTGGGGTTTGCTCAGAACGTGTTCTGCATACAAGCAATCACTGCAGGAGCGGCCATTTCTGGTAGCTCACTATCTGGCAAGCAGCCAATTGTGGCGGGGAGAGGGCGCACTATCTAGCAGCCTTTGAACTCACAAGATTGGGGGAAGAAGTTGATTGCCCGGTCGGTGTTAGAGATGGCCATGTGGGAGGTATGGCTCGTTATCTGGCAGTAACAGGAGCCAGTGGCTGGGAGTCTGCCCGCAGTAGGCAGTATTATTTATATTGATCTGGTGTAATGAGGGGATGGTTTGCTGGAGGAGGGGGTGGAGAGTGGATGGAATTGATTGGCAGCTGGATATGGCCAGGGCTGCCAGTTGGACCATCCTGGTTTAAGCAAAAGAAGCAAAATGAAATCATCAACACTTTAGCAGTATTAAAACTCACTTTAGTTGCAGTCGACTTTTTAGTCTTTGGCCCCAACTCAGCTTCAGTATCTGAATCAGAATCCTTCTTCCTTTTGGGATGTTTAGCCTTGGGAGCAGTAGCCTTTTTGGGAGCAGCGTGTTTATCAGACACTGTGGATCCTGCCTTCACAGTGACCGTGCTTGATTTTGGAGGAGCCTTTTGTTTCTTGAGAGCATCAAAGATGGAAGGCTGGTTTTCATCTGGAAATCATGCATCTTAGATTAGACCCAATCAGTAGCATTATTCTTCATTATTATTTTTGAATGAAGCACAAGTAGAACGGAAAACAACACCAACTTGCACTTATATAGCGCCCTCCACGCAGGGTAGCCCCTCAGAGCGCTTGACAGTGGCGGAGCGTAGCCTGACTCCGAGCTAAACTCACAAGTGTCTCATCCCAACAGGGTTTGTTAGTGTAGGCATTGCCCGTGTGCACATTTAGTCCTCAATATGCACCGAATTTGCCGGTTGCAGTTGAGATGGCACAATTGATTCACATTGGACTAGGGAAAGGGGGAAAAAAGCCGTTCATGTTTGCTAGCTAGTGAAAATTTGCAATTAAACACTGGGTGTGAACAGAACAACAAATTACATTTTATAGTGCCTTTCATGTCAGGAGGACCCTTTGTGGTTAAAAAGCCTGCTATACTTACAACTGAACAATCAGCACTTGGGGGAAGTATTTGTGCAAATACATAGAACACCCCAAGCAAAAACAAATGCATTCATGAGAGGAGAAAATCTTCATTTAAAAAGTATACTGACAAGCCATGCACACATCCATGCAAAGAATCATAGAATCTTACAGCACAGAAGGAGGCCATTCGGCTCACTATGCCACTGCTGGCTCTTTGAAAGAACTATCCAATTAGTCCCCTGCTTTTGCCCCTGAGCCCTGCAAATTGTTCCTTTTCAAGTACATCTCCTTTTGAAACCAGCTTCGTATCTGCTTCCACCACCCTTTCAGGAAGTGCACTGTAACAACTCTGGGTAAAAAAAAATCTCCTAGTCTCCCCTCTGGTTCTTTGGTCAATTATATTAAATCTGTATCCTTTGGTTACCAACCTACCTGTCAGAGGAAACAGTTTCTCCCTATCTACTCATATTTCTCATTTCTCAAATTCCTCATAATTTTGAACACCTATTAATTCTCCCCTCAAATTTCTCTGGTCTAAGGAAAACAATCCCACCTTCTCTAGTTTCTCCACATAATTGAAGTTCCTCATCCCTGGGATTTGTAAATCTCCCCTGCATAATCTCCAAGGCACTGACTCATTCCTCAAGTGTGGTGACCAAAATTGGACACAATAATGAATATTATTTATTTTATTATAACACTCCAGCTGAGGCCTAACCAGCGACATGTAAAAGTTACAGAGGATACAGTTCATGACCTCTCTGCTGCCTTCGACACCGATGACCACTCTATCCACCGTCTCTCCTCTCACCTCAACCTTCATGGATCTGTCCATGACTGGTTCAGATTCTACCTCTCATACCGCCTCCACTTCATCTACACAAACAATTTCTCCTTTAGCCCCCGCACTGTCTCGTGCGGCGTTTCTCAGGGCTGACTTTGGTCCCCTCCTCTTCAATATCTATATGCCAAGACCATAGGCTCTCCTGATTGACTCCCAACAGTGCCTCCACACCTCAGGCACTGACAGCATCACCATCCATGCTCCCCTGCCCCACCATTAGCCACTCTGCCCCCACCCTCTGGAACTCCATCTCGCAGTCTCTCCGTCTTGCCCCCTCCCTCACCTTCTTCAAGACCCACCTCTTCGACCATGCTTTCGATCACCCTGCTTCCCAATCCGAACACCCAGCTCAGGTCTGAAACTGACTGTTCAGCGCCTTGTGAAGTCCTCCTGATGGAAAAGGTACTATACTAATGTAATTTTGTCGTCGTTGTTTAGCAGAAGTCTCTTGCATGAATAACCTAAATGACTGTCACCTTATGTTAAATTACAAACCCGATAATAAACCTTGCTAGCCAAAACCTGAAGTCACCTTGTAGCTGGGTCACCAAAGACCATTAGACCAAGATGATTCTTCATGTCAAAACAGGCTTCTAATTTATACTAGAAACATTTGTAACTAGTGTTCTTTGTGATACTTCAGATGGTAATTACCATGGATATAATAAACACTGGTTTGTATTGCTATATGTAACCAAAACCAATTGTTTATTTGGCACTAATTCCCTTGCCTTTCTTGGACGCAGCGGCAGGTTTGTTTCCAAGAGGTCGCTTTCTTGATGCAGGCTTGTCCCCAGTAGGTTTGGCTGTTGGTTTCTTTGTAGTAACCACCGTGGAAACTGGTGGTGATTCAGGCTCATCATCATCATTTTCCTTTATTGCAGGTTCAGCAATGGAGTCAGAAGAGGCGTCACTCACATCAGTATTGGCTTTCTGATCACTCTCCTCAGCTATAATAATGAACAAGTTGGAAAACAAACTAAATCCAAGTCATTATGGTAAATGACAAACAAAAATAAAATTCAGATCCAAAGCTACAAATTTAGCGCCTTATCCCGGAGCTCTGGTTTATATAGCGTCCTTCACTTCATGTGGGGTAGAGTCCCAGAGTACTTGTTTATATAGCGTCTGTCATGTGGGGTAGCGTCCTAGAGCATTTGTTCATATAGTATCTCTCACGTGGGGTAACATCCCAGAGCACCTGTTTATATAATGTCTCATGTGGGGTAGAATCCTAGAGCACTTGCTTATAGAGTGTCTCTCAAGTGGGGTATCGCCCGGAGCACTGGACGGCCTATTTCACCCAGATTTGTGAGTTTGGGATTTGGTCATCTTGAAGTGCGGGTTATGGTAAATAGTGGTAAAATAGGATTGTGAAAAAATGACATGACCAACCCCGAAATTCAAAAGAACTTTTAAACACATAAAGGCTCTGAGGTGAAAGGGACACCTGTCCCAATAATCTCAGGTAATTTTTGGTCAGTGGGAGATGAATTGTACTTACAGGCTTTCCTGGAGATCTGAGTTGACTGCAATACTGTATTCTTTTTGGAAGTGGCTTTTGAAAAGACCTTCTTTTCAGTCTTCCTGCAAAGTAAAATTACATTTATCAGAAGCACTTAAATACAAACAAATAAAAAAAGTTCCATTATTTCAGATTAATTTTAGTTGAATTAGTAAAACAGCTTTAGGTTTCTCTCTTACATTCGGGCAGGTTTTGACTTTGGAATTGAAAAGTCTGAGTCACTGTCAGAAATTGTAAATTCTTTGTCACTTTCCTCACTGACATGTTTCCCAGGGCCTTCATCATCTGTGCCTTCATCAGATGAATCAAATACATATTTTGTCTTTGATGCTATGATAAAAAAAGGAATTACAGAAGAATTAGCAAAATAAACATTTGTACTTGCCCCAGAAAAGATCAAAGTTGTTGGTTGGCTGCTGGCTCAATTGGAAGTACACTTTCTTCTGATTAAGAAGGTTGGGGGTTCAAGTACCACATTTGATTTGAGGCATTAAACTTCTACCCCAGCTCAGCTGCACGCTGGAGCAAATGACTGATATGATTGCATGCCAATAACTGCCTAAGAAATACATTAACTTAATAACATGCATATATAGTAGGGCTATTTTGTTGTTTTTAAATACCAGTGAATTTGGGCGTGTCTCGTTCCTCAAAGAACTACAAACATACTGTAGATTTAGCATGGAACAAACTGAAGGCACTGGAGATAATGTGGTCATTGATATCTTTCTAGCATTCTAACATACTGTTCTATAAAAACATTTAGATTGAACATTTTCAATTGTCTGATAGGTTAGACATTTTTTTCCGGCCAGCCGGGTGTCTGACACATGCGGAAACCCATCACCATGCTTAAGACTAAGCTGAGAATTCCATACATCCCATTTATACATGGAAATCCCAGAGATAGATTGTTGGAATGGAATGCACTCTGTGACTGGAGGGATGCATCTTGTTTACCTAATTCTGGAAAGTATTTGGTGCAGGTTGGCAAAAGCCAAGGTTTGGGGACCCCAGAGTGTGTGTTGGGGTAACTGTTGAAGTTAAATCACCTAAAATCTGCATAGCTTGCCATTGATATCACTGTCTGGAAGCTTTTGTGCTGCTTGTCCAGCTAGGACCACTATACATGATAGGGCTTTGGACTGCAGTGCTAACAGGAGCTGAGTGGGATAACTCTCTGCCCCCAGTGACTGGTCGGCCCTTCCAAGTCCTGCCGATGAGCCAGGCTGGGGTTGTGCTGGCGTCAGCACTGAGTGCCCTGAATACCGCGGACTCTCCTGGCTCAGGAACAGAATGTCCAAGACGGCCAGAGGGCTGGCTCGATTCCGGCATTCTGTTGCCAGGCATGTCACCTTGGAGCCAGTTCAGCTTGTTTTAAAAAAGGCAACCCTAATCTACAAACTAACGATGTTCCAGCTTCTGATTAAAAAAACAAACTCGGAGCAATTTATACACTAAACTTACGATACATCCGACTTTCATATCGTTACACTGAAGTCAAACAATTACCCGTTTTCCTTTGAAGTTTATCTCTCGGACCAACAACAACAATCTCCAGATCGCTGTCTGGCTCAGAACCAGAATCGGACCAGGGATTCCTCTTGTTCTTTGTAACTGGTTTAAATTGCAGTGTGGTTTGCTTCTGGGTTTTTTGTTTAGTTTCTGCCCCTGAAACGGTGGAGTGGACAGGAAGTTCATTTACAAACATAAATAGCACAACTGAAACACAGAGAGCAACTTAATATCTGAAGTCGTTGATAATAATAATTATAATCCTTGCATTTGATACAGCGCTTTTCACATCTTCTTGATGTCTCAAAGGCTTTCACTGAATATACTGTAAAGTGAATTGACTGTATATTCCGCCAATACCTCTCCCCAAAAGCCGCTGAAACCCTGGTCCGTGCCTTTGTCACCTCTCGGCTGGACTATTCTAACGCCCTCATCGCCGGCCTCCCATTCACAGCCATCCATAAAATCCAAATCACTCAAAACCCTGCCGGCCGCATTCTCACCCGCATCAAACTCCGCTCCCCGATCCCCCCAGTCCTTGCCAGACTGCACTGGCTGCCTGTCCCAGAGCGGATCGATTTCAAGATCCTCACCCTTGTATTCAAGTCCCTGCACTCCTCTGCACCCCCCGACCTCTCTGACCTCCTCTCTCCTCAAAACAGGACCCATTGCTTTCTTTCCTCCGGGTCTGGCCTCCTCCTCGTCCCCCAAGCCCTACACTCCACCCTCAGCGGCCGTACCTTCAGCCACTATGCCCCAAGGCTCTGGAACTGCCGTTCTCACTCCATTCGTCTCGCTCCCTCCCTTCCCCTTTTCAGGTCTCTGCTGAAGACCTTTCTTTTCGACTGTGCCTTTGGTTACATTCCTCCCCCTCCCCCTGGCTCAGTCCTGGGATCTGTTACTGTAAAGCGCTCTGAGGCGCCGCCCAGTGTGGAGGGCGCTATATAAATCCAAGTTGTTGTTTTTGTTGTACGTTTGTGGGTGAAATACGGCAGTCAATTTTGCACAGAGGTGTCCCACAGTCGTGGATTGAAGTGACCAACTTATTATTGTTTTTTTTTCTTGAGGGATTATTATCAGGTTGATAATAGTATAAGATTGATACCTTATATTCAAAATACATTGGCGGATGTGCCATTGATTCTCGCCAGCACTGTTTGCTGTGCAGCAGGATCATGTACAGTGTACTACTCTGCTACCTTTCTTGAGTGGGAGAAAATATAGCTATTCATGCACTTCTTGCATATATTTTCACCCACAAAATATAGGCAATTCACTCTACAGTATATTCTGTGAAGCGCTTTGAGAAGTCTTGAAGATGTGATAAGGCGCTATATAGGATTATTATTATTATTATCCTAGTTGATCAGAAACCTCTCTACGAAGATATTGTATGTGATAAAGAGGAAAACGTACAGGGCTTGACAATTTACAACTCCACCGTGCCTTTTGTTGATAAGACACTTATGGTGGGAATTTAGTCAATGTGTCCAGCAAATCACGCTATAGTAGCCAAGTTACATACCAGCTTTGGTATTCATTTTCTTGGTGAGTCGATCTGCCAGACTTAAAGGCTCCTGCAATTCAGGCAAATCCCCTTCCTCCTTTTCACCAAATTCCATTTTAACAGCAAGGCCATCAGCTTCATTCTGTAACCCAGGTAAAACAGTTTTAAAATTAAAATTTAAAATTAGCAATAGAATGATGACAAAGTGCTGTGCGTATTTCCCCCCATCCCTCCTCTTTTGAAGGTATTGACTATTTTGATAGCTTGACAGGCAGAGTAGCTTCGCGTACTTCATGTGAGCACAGGCAGTGACACGTTAACTTACTTTTCTGTCTGGTGTATAAATATCTAGCAAGGAGTACTGGAAAAATGTAACACTGGCTATATATTATCCAAATTAGCAGGGACTGAATGACTGTTTCACAAGGGGGAATGGGTGTCATAAGCTGATCACAACTTAAGTGAATAGTTTGTCATTTTGTGTGAATTTTATAATTTAGTATAAACATCCTAAATACCTCTGAACACAGAAGATATACAAACCTTTCCTCTTTTCCTGACAATTTTCTTGCTAGCTTCAGCTTTCATAGCACTAGTAACTCTGGGTACAACTCGCCTTCCTTTCGGAGAAGGCATAGTCTCTTCCAACCGCAGCTTCTTTTTAGTCTTTGCACCCTTGCCCTTAACAGCTTTCTCATTCAAATAAGATACCTCATCTTCTTTTTCCTGCGCCTCTACCCGCTGCCAAAAAAAAAGTTTATTTTGATTTACTTGTCACAATTTGAACAGTTTATTATAATTCAGAAAGCCTTCAATGTTTAAAATTGTTTATCACCTCTCGTGTAATGATCTGAGTAACACATGAAATTATAGTAAATATAAATTATATCATTACATAATATGTAATGTGACTTAAGTGAAGTCAGAGCTACAGGCAAACTGTATGAGTTGTATAAAATCCGATTTAATCAATAATTGACACTGCGAATGCGTAATTCAAAGCAGCTAGTAATGCACATGCAGTACTGTAGCCTAGATGTGCGCATACAGTGATGGGTCAAGACTGCAGTCCGCGATTCAACGAACCTTGACCCGTCACCCCATGTGCACTAACCGGCAAGCGTTGAGATAGCAGTAAATGAAGTTCTTCTGCGCCTGTGGCGGTAAAACCAAGACTCCGTTTCCTGCGATTCTACGCAGCTATCAAAGTGGGCACGTGTCAACAGATCAGGACGTCAGTTACTGTGATTCAATGCGGCCTTTAAGTGTGGGAATAATGGAGGCAAGGGGAGCAGCGTTACAAGTTAGGAGATGATTAATATTCCCAGTGCAAAGAAATTCAAATGGTTTTGATAGGGAACCGAATGAGACTCGCGTGCATGTTTGACTTAGGCGATTTTCCAATTTATAAAGATAAGACTTATGCAAGTTTTACTGTATTGTATAATGTATTATTAGATAGTAGGGCAAGCTGAGCAATCAAAAAGGATAACGTATAATGCAACATAACAAATAAAACAGCACCAAAGGTTAAGTAATTTCAATAAAACACAACACTTTGCTTCAGACAAGAACTAATTGTTTCAAATAGAGAATGTAGTTCAGAGAACGCTAGTGTACCTTATCTCGTTTGTATACATATGTGCATGGAATGTGGGGAATGAATTGAAAGATTAAAATATACCAGGATATTTTCTAATAGTTAAGAATTGAAACTGAAAACTTTGCAAGAAAATTGTAAATTCCCTGACCAGCAGTGCTTTCTTCCACCTCTACCACATTGCCTAAAACCTCACCCCAAAAGCTGCCATAACCCTTGTCCATGCCTTTGTCACCTCTTGGCTGGAAGACTCTAACGTCCTCCTCGCCGGTCTCCCTTCCTCCACTATTCACAAAATTTAGCTTTTTCAAAACTCCGCTGCCCACATTCTCACCCGTACCAAATGTTGTACCCCAAATACTCAAGTCTTTGCCATACTCCACTTCAAGATACTCACTCTAGTGTTTAGATCCCATCTCTCTGCTCTACTGGGTCGGGCCTCCTCTGCATCCCCCGAATCCTCTGCTCCACTATCGGTGGCTGTGCCTTCAGCCACTACGCCCCGATACTTTGGAACACCCTCCCTCAACCCCTTGGCTTCACCCCCTCCTTCTCCATCTTCAGGTTGCGCCTGGAGACCTTCCTCTTCTACCGCGCTTATCGTCACCTTCCCTCTCCCCCTGGCTCGGCCTCGGGCTCTGCCATTGTTAAGCTCTGGGACGCTATATAAATGCATGTTGTTGTTGTAAATAAGGTGAATGTGACTGCCATCAGCACAGCGCTCCAAATAGAATCATTTCTCTTCACCCTCCACGTACAGGAGTGAAAAGAAAAATCAATAATAATAATCCTTGCATTTGATATAGCGCTTTTCACGTCAGGAGGACGTCCCAAAGCGCTTCACAGAACACACTGTAAAGTGAATTGACTGTATATTTGTGGGCGAACGGGGCAGCCAATTGCGCACAGCAATGTCCCACAAACAGTCGTGGATTGAAAATGACCAATTTTATTATTGTTTTTGGTTTTGGAGGGATTATTATTATTAGGCTCTGTGTGGAGTAAGGAAACTTGCCCAAGGTTTCGCCCTCTGCCTGGAATTGAACTCAGGTCTCTCACTTGCAGGGCGAGTGCTCTAACCACTGAGCTACAGGACTCCACTTGAGTATTACACTTGAGTATCCCACGTATTACTGAAGGGATTTCAAACTCTTAACTGCAACAACTTTGTACAGATAAGCAATAGATTAACCAACATTGAAGGTGTATTTGTATATAACATTGAGTGCCACATTAAGGAGAACAGAAATAATACCTCAAGTTCCTCAATGAAGGCAGCCAAGTCGTCCTTCCACAAGTCAGATCCAGACTTCAATTTCAGGTCTTCCAGTTCTCTTTCCTGATGGAAAGTTAGAATGTCAGTGTTAAATTGTACGTCCTTGACAAACTCCCTAATTTATTAACTGAAACTGGATCAAAGATATGCTGAGGCAAATAACTTGCATTTATGTAGCACCCTTCATACAGGGTAGCATCTGAACATTTAACACTAGCAGAGCCCCACTCTAAGCCTGTGTGTGTGTGTGAGAGAGAGATTGAGAGACTGCAAGCACTGTTGAAGAGGAAGCCCACCAATGGTGGAGTGGAGAAGGGACAAGTAGAATGCCGGAGACAGCTGAGTAGAGGTGGTGGAGTGGGAGTAACAGGTTGGAGAAGTAGGGAGGTGCCAGGATGTGATTTATAGATGACTTTGAGGATCACAAAGTGGATCTGCTCTGTGATAAGGAGCCAGTGGAGCCTGGCAAGGACTGGGGTGATGGGGGTATGGAACTTAGCATGTGTGATAGGAAGCCAGTGGAGCCCGGTGAGGACTGAGGTGATGGGGTATGGAATTTGGAGCGGGTGAGTATACGGGTGACAAGAGTTTTTAAAATCAGTTGAATTCTGTGGATAGAGGAGCTAAGGAGCCCAGCAAGGAGGGCATTGGAATAGTCGAGATGCCGAAAGTGTGGACGAAGTTTTAGGCTATGTTGGGTGTGAGGTACAGAACCAGAAACAAAAAATCCAAAACCTAATCCTATTTCAATACTACAGCTACATGATTAGTTTCAATATTGGTGCAAGGAAATTCATTGCCAGAGTTAAAGATGGTTTACATTGATCTATGTACCCACTTTAACATCCCTTTGTTTAAGCAGCTCATCCTTTTTCTCTTTTGTCAAGTACCACATGGGCATATTCAAAAGGTAGTTGAAATCTGGTCCAGATGAAGTGTTAAATTCTTCTTCCTGCTCTTCTGTGTCCATGCTTTCCTCCTGTGAACAGGTAATTATAAACCATCAGCTATTTAAGAACAACAAATAAACCCACTTGAGGATAAAGAGAAAGGTGCTTTTAATATGTAAAGCACCACCTCACTTCTCACCAAGGTTTAAACTCTGCTCTGGAACTCTATCCCCCAGTGCCTTCGCCGCTTCCTCCCTTTCCTCCTTCAAGGCCGGTCTCAAGACCTTTCTCTTCGACCGTGCCTTCAGCTCCCCTCTCGACTCTCTACCCCCTCCTCGCTCCCTCCCTTCCCTCCCCTCACCCTGACCATTTCCCCCTGCTCGGGTCCCGACCCAACTGTCCAGCACCTTGGGACGTCCTCCTGACATGAAAGGCGCTCTATAAATTAAATCTTGTTGTTGTTGTTGTTGCTACATTACAAGAGAAATTTGATTTTTCTGTCAGTTTTTCCTTGAAGAATGACTTGTGAGTTCTGATAATCCAGTTAGCCGGGGGTAGAATACAATTATGATACAATCAACTAACAGAAGCTCCGAAACTACTAGATAGCAAAAGAAGTAAGTCTTCATTAAGAGGTGCTGCCACCTGTTGGCAAAGGTGCACTACATTGTAAGGTGCCAAAACTGTAGTGATTTTTCAAACACTCAAAACAAAGCTCAATTTCTCAACCAAATACAATTCTAACGCAGTACACTTATTAAATGCTTGATCAAAGTTTTTCAAATCCATCCTCACTGCTAATATTACTATGCATATCATTTATAATATCAGACAGTTTTGTACCATGTAGAATGCATCTTTAAGCTAAATAAGAATGTATCATCCTAGTCAGACCAGTTATCACTCTCACCATTAACCAAATAATGGTTCTCATCAATCCTACAATGGTTTACAACCAAAGAGTTCAAGTTTTACTATTAAATAAGAAAAACAGCATCATAAACTATTTGAAACATATTCACGCATTGCAGATTGGATATTAGTTTTTGGCCAAAATAGCACTACCGGCCACTTACCTTTTCTTGAGATTGTTTCCAGGCTTTCACAGGATCAGAATCATACCCACGATCAACCAGCAACTTGATCAGTTCACGCTTTGGTTTGTTTTCTGTGGGCCAGATTCACAGAAGTGTTTTAGCCGATTTATTTCAAGACTATCAGGAAAAAGAATCCCCTCATAACAAATGTGGCAGTCGAACTTCATAGAAAGCCCATCCAAACAGTTATTGGTTAATAAGAAATTTTCACTCACAAACGTATGACTAAAAAGCTGCAAGTTACATCATGAATATATGGATCTTTCGCCCACAAAGTACAGTCAATTCACCTTACAGTATATTGTGTGAAGAGCTTTGAGACGGCTTGAAGGCCTGATAAGGCGCAATATCAAATGCAAGAATTATTATTGTTATGCATCAATTCAATATTCTATATTTTCTTTTCAAGGATAAGATGAACACTATTAGCACTTTCTCATACAAAACACATTTCAACAATTCAAACTTAATAAAATTAGCCACCAATAAGGGACAGAGCGGCGAAGGTAAGCTGGGAACTGTCAGAGCGATGAAAAAAAAGAAAAAGTGACGTAGGTGACATCATCTTTTTTCAACAGCAGAACCAGGACCAACATCGACAAACTGTCAGAAACCACAACACTGACAGCAAATTAGAACAAAAAAAATAAAAAAAAATTGAAAACATTGTGTGAAAAGATGATGTGGCAAGTTAAATGTGAGGTCTGTGACATATGGGAGATAATGGAGGGCGCCCTGAGTCCGGGCGACTTCATCTGCAGCAAGTGGCTGCAACTCAGGAAGCTCCAGCTGAGAGTAGCGGAGCTGGAAGCCGAGGTGCAGACACTGCGCACCATCAGGGACAGTGAGAGGTTCCTGGACAGTATGATGGAGGAAACCATCACTCCCCTGAGACTCGGGAGATGCTTGCATCCAGTTAATGCTCAGGGACAGGATGTTTTCATCAGTCCTGCAGATAATGGGACCCCTGAGAGAGGGGTGATGGAGCCTTGGACTTCAAACGTGATCAACGGATGTGAGTATTTGATGGACCAGACACCTCAGGAGGTGGTCACCCCACCCCACACACCGAGGGTTCAGACGGAAAATGACTGGGTGACTGTCCGGCATGGTAGGAAGAGGGGACGGGCTGGGTAGGATGCCCCCAATAGTGTAGCACTCTCAAACCGGTACTCTGTACTGAACATTGAGAGTGTGGATATCTCCAGGGAGGACAGTATAAACCAATTGGTGGAACAGGGGACATAGGTAACAGGAGTCATTGGGTATACAACAGTGAGAGGTATAGACCGACGTTTTTGTAACAGAAGACGGGAGTCAAGGATGGTATGTTGCCTCCCTGGTGCAACAGTCTTGGACATCACAGAAAGGGTGGATAAAATTCCTCAGGGGGAAGGAGAACACCCAGAAGTGGTGGTCCAGGTGGGGATCCATGATATTGGTAAAAAAAAGGGCTGATACGCTACAGGGTGAATATCAAAAGCTGGGGAACATACTAAAGAATCGAACATCCAAAGTGGCGATCTCTGGATTGCTCCCTGTGCCTCGGGCAAATAAGTACCAGAATGGCAGGATCAAGCATATGAATGCTTGGCTGGAGAAATGGTCCAGAAAAGAGGGCTTCAAGTTTCTGGATCATTGGGACCATTTCTGGGGCAGGCGGGACCAGTATCATATGGATGGGTTGCACCTAAACAGGGCTGGGGCGAATGTACTTGCAGACAGGCTAACTAATGCTGTCTTTGCAACGACGTCCTTCCGATGCAAGAGGCGCTGGGTTAAGCGCGAGATCAATCACAATCTCGGGGTCTTGCACTGAAGCCTTCCCCTTTGCCCTCGCTTTGGGTTATCCTGTGGGGCCCTGTAGCTCAGGGGTTGGAGCACTCGCCTCGCGGGTGGGAGACCCCCGGGGTTCGATTCCTTCCCCTCCACGCGCGCACACACACACACACACACACACGCCTGTGGTGACTCGGCAGTGAGTAGGAACCCGGTTGTTAGTCGGTTGGTGGATTGTGTTGCACTCTCTCGACGGTCGGGCTTTCAGCCTCTCTGCCCCCACCCTCTGAAACTCCATCCTACGGTCCCTTCGCCTCCTACAAGGCCGGTCTCAAGACCTTCCTCTTCGACCATGCCTTCGGTCACCCTCCCCTACCCCCACCCTCCTACCCGCCCCTCCCCTTCCTCTTTGACTGTGTCTCTGTATGACTGTGTATGTGGTGCTGTGTGTGTGGGGCTGTGTGAGTGTGTCTGTGGCTTTGCAAGTGAGAGACCTGAGTTCAATTCCAGGCAGGGCGAAACCTTGGGCAAGTTTCCTTACTCCACACAGAGCCTAATAATAATCCCTCCAAAACCAAAAACAATAATAAATTGGTCATTTTCAATCCATGACTGTTTGTGGGACATTGCTGTGCGCAATTGGCTGCCGCGTTCGCCCACAAATATAGTCAATTCACTTTACAGTGTTCTGTGAAGCGCTTTGGGACATCCTCCTGACGTGAAAAGCGCTATATCAAATGCAAGGATTATTATTATTATTATTAGGGAGGGGGGTTTTGAGGGGGGAAGGGAATGCAAAATACAAAGAGCTAGAAAATGGAGAAATAAAACAGGAGGGAAGCGTAGAACAGGTCAAGTCGGTCTTGGAGTGCATGTGCCTAAATGCACGGAGTTTAGCAAACAAGATTGGTGAGCTGCAGGCTCAAGTGGTCATAGGGGATACAATGTAGTAGCAGTAGGAGACTTGGCTCAAGCAAGAACAGGAATGGGAGCTGAATATTCCTGGCTATAATGTATTCAGGAGAGATAGGGAAGGAAAAAAAGGAGGGGGTGTGGCAATGTTAGTCAAAGATACGGTTATAGCCATGGAAAGGGCCGAGGTGATGGAGGGCCCCAAAACAGAATCTATCTGATTAGAGTTAAGGAACAAAAAAGGAGCTGTTACACTGGTAGGGTATACTAGAAACCACCAAATAGTGGGAAGGAAACAGATGAGTAGATTTGCAAGCGGATCTCAGACAGATGCAAGGCCAATAAAGTCGTGATAATGGGGGACTTTAATTACCCCAATATAGACTGGCGAAACAACAGCGCAAAGGGCAAGGAGGGAGAAATATTACTAAAATGCATACAGGACAACTTTCTTGATCATTACGTTTCCAGCCCAACGAGGAAGGAAGCAGTGCTAGATCTAGTTCTAGGGAATGAAGTAGGGCAAGTGGAGCAGGTTTCAGTGGGAGAGCATCTGGGCAATAGTGATCATAACATCATTAGATTCAAAGTGCATATGGAACCATCACAAGGAACCATCTAAGGTAAAGATATTCAACTGGAAGAGGGCAAATTTCAGTAAGCTAAAAAGGGACCGAGCCAAGGTGGACTGGAAAGAAAGATTGGCAGGTAAAACAACTAAAGAGCAATGGGAAGTCTTCAAGGATGAGATAGCTCGGGGACAGAATAAATACATTCCCACAAAAGGGAAAAGTAGGGCTTTCAAACCTCCGTGGATGACGAAGGTAATTGTATCTAAAATGAAGCAGAAAAAGGGAGGCGTATGACAAATGTCAAACCTGAGATACAGAAGACAACCAAATCGAATATAGGAAGTGCAGAAGAGGTTTGAAAAAGGAAATAAAAGTGGCAAAAAGATTATACGAAAAAAGGTTAGCGGGTAACATTAAAGGGAATTCTAAAATATTTTACAAACATATCAAGGAAAAAAGGCTAGTCAAAGATAGGGTTGGGCCAATTAAGGACCAAGGGGGAATCTTATTCTGGAGGCAGAGGGCATGGCTGATGTGCTGAACGAGTACTTTGCATCTGTCTTCACAAAAGAAGTGGATGCACCAAATGCCGCAGTACCGGAGGAGAGGGCAGAGGAAATGGATAGGATAAGTATAAACAAAGAATACTGAAAAGGTTGACTGCACTGAAGGTAGATAACTCGCCCGGTCCGGACGGGATGCAGCCAAGATTACGATGGGAGGCACGGGTGCAAATAGCGGAGGCTTTGGCTACAATTTTTCAATCTTCGTTGGACACAGGAGTGATGCCAGAGGACTGGAGAGTGGCCAATGTGACTCCCCTGTACAAAAAGGGACAGAAGGACAAACCTGGGAACTCCAGGCCAGTCAGCCTAACATCAGTAGTGGGGAAACTCCTGGAGACGATAATCCGGGACAGAATAAATCTTCACTTAGAAGAATATGGGTTAATTAGGGACAGCCAACATGGATTTGTTAAAGGCAAATCTTGTCTAACAAATCTAATAGAATTTTTTGATGAGGTAACGGAGCGGGTGGATGAAGGTAGTGCAGTTGATGTAGTTTATATGGACTTCCAAAAGGCATTTGACAAAGTGCCATATGAAAGACTTGTAAGAAAGATAGAAGCCCATGGAATAAAAGGGACAGTGGCAGTGGATCCAGAACTGGTTGGAAGACAGAAAGCAGAGAGTTGTGGTGAACAGCTGCTTTTCTGACTGGAGGGAAGTGTACAGTGGCGTCCCCCAGGGATCAGAGCAGAACCACTGCGCTTCTTAATATACATAAATGATCTGGACTTGGGTATAACAAGTACCATTTCCAAGTTTGCAGACGACACAAAGTTAGGTAGGGGGTAAACAGTGAGAAGGATAGGAGCCAACTGCAGGAAGACATGGACAGAATAGTAAAATGGGCGACACATGGGAGATGAGTTTCAATGTGGAGAAATGCGAGCTAATGCATTTTGGTAGAAAGAATGATACAGGTTAGGTAATACAATCTTAAGAGGGGTAAAAGAACAGAGAACTGGGGGTGCAGGTAAATGAATCCTTGAAGGTGGCAGGACAGGTAGATAAAGCTGTAAAAAGGGCAAATGGGATTCTAGGCTTTATAAATAGGGGAATAGAGTACAAGAGTCAGGAGGTTACGATTAACCTATATAAAACACTGGTTAGGCCTCAGTTAGAATACTGCGCCCAGTTCTGGGCACCACACTATAAGAAGGATGTTAAGGCATTGGAAAGGTGCAGAGGAGAGTTACAAGAATGGTACCAGGAAAGAGGGACCTTGATTATGAGGAAGGGCGAGAGAGGCGAGGATTATTCTCATTGGAGCAGAGAAGGTTACGAGGAGACCTAATAGAGGTCTTCAAAATCATAAGGGGATTTGATAGGTTGGAAAGGGAAAAACTGATTCCACTGGTGGGTGTGTCGGTGACTCGAGGTCACAGATTCAAAATAGTCTCTAAAAGAAACAGAGGGGAGGTGAGAAGACATGTTTTCATGCAGCGAGTTGTTCGAATTTGGAAGGCATTGCCTGAAAGGGCGGTTGAGGCCGATTTGATAACTACTTTTAAAAACGTGATGAACGGGTATTTGAGGACGGGTTTGCAGGGTTATGGGGAAAGGGCTGGGGAGTGGGATTGACATTAATTGCTCTATTCAAAGAGCCGGCACAGACTCGATGGGCCGAATGGCCTCTTTTTGTGCTGTACAATTCTATGATTCTATGAATAAATTTTGAATACTTACCAATGATCAGAACGCCTTCGATCTTCTCCAAGATAAAACGAGCCTGGTTGCTGAGCTTGCTGTACTCTGCTCCCAGCATTCCTTCCAACCACTCCTTCCTCAAATTATAATATTTTAACCGCAACTCAAAGAATTCTTTTAGGATATCTTGTACATTATCATATTTCTTCAGACAGCCAGCATGGTCAAACAGCACCTACAAAGAGACAAGTTAACTCCATTGCGACAATTCTCACCCCTTTTGTATACAGTGTATGTCTCACCACCCTCCCCTCACAGAGTGCACTAAGTGGCCTCTGTGTTTGACCTCACTGAGCGCAAGGTGTACTTTACTAGTGAGAGTTACCACGGTGACAGGTACTGCCAATATTACAGCTAATTGGGAAGCTTCTGTCCCAGCCTTTTGTTTGGGTTCCCCCCCCACCCGAACGCACTCACCAAGCTATCAACCGCATACGTTTTTGCAAGGTTGATGCTCTCAATTCTTACAAAAAACACAGCAAAACATGTTTTAACAGAGGATAAATGCAAAAAACAGGGGTGACCATGTCATCACTCAGAAAGAATCATTGCTGAATCTGTGAAGCAACATCTAAATAATCAAGTTAAAAACATTGGAGTAACAGATGGCGTTTCCAATGATTTTTAAAAACAAATTAGTCTGGGAAATTCAGCTCACTGTGATATCAAAGCACCGTACCATTGAGTTGCAGGTGAGAGGGGTATTTAGCCTGAAGACTTTGTGCAGTCCTGCAGCCTCTGCTTCAGCTAGTTTCTCCTCAGTCATCGTCACCAGGAAACGAACAGTGGTATCAGTGTGGTACTCTCTATAGTCGGAGATCAGTGCTGGAGTCTTCTCTGTCCCGTTCACCATCGCCTCCAGTACATTCTCTTTGTAATTCTAAAAATACACACACCCTTCTATTTAAAATCAATACACTATTTTCAACAGTTTTGCGATGATATTTTCAGTCAGTAGATGTATAATAACAAGACTTAAAAAAGTACCTGGGTCCATGTCCTGACAGGAAGCTCTGAAATTTCTACTGTGGTGGAATCAAGCACGGAGATTTCACCATTAATCATATACTGATTAAGACCCAGCTCGTGAATAGTTCCCTTGAAGTTTTTGTAGTTAGGAAGCTATTAAAAAACAGGTACATTAAACAGTGAGTTAAAATTAAATATGAATGCTCTGTGATCAATTACGTGACCATTATAATAACTGGAGTGATGGGCTAAAACCAAATAAAACTACTTCCATCACCAGGGTGAACACAAGTCCACATGAAGTTTTGACTCACCATTGGCAGTGGGTCCTCTCCTTCCAGCATTCGCCTGACATTGTTAACAATTTCTCTTACATCATAATTGGGGATTTTACTTGCCCACCCGGTGCCAATGCCCTCTGTACCATTGACTAAAACCAGAGGAATGATTGGGATGTACCACTCTGGCTCCACCCTCTGGTTATCATCAAACAAGTTGTTCAGCAGATTATCATCGAGTGATGGGAACACACGGCGAGCCAAAGGGCTGAAAAAAACAAAATGTGTCAATCACTGACCCCTCCTTTGCCATCACTGATTATGATTAATCCTTTGATTATGGAAGAAGGAAGAATCTAGTTCAATATTCCAAATTACAATGAAAAAGCGTGAAAGTGTGGCTATGCGTTAACATTCCTAAATTAGAAAACTTCAAACAGTATGACACATCAGCAATATCTAGCGGTAAGAAATTAAAATCCTATAAAATGTGTCATCAAGGAATATTTGTACGGCACAACCCATTGAACATCCAAAGCCATGACTAGTTCTAAACCATTCTTAGTTGGAGTTTAAAGTTAATAAAAAAACACACAAGTCAGCAACTTGATAAGACTTCAGCCATAATTTATACCGTACAAATGCCCACATAACTACAATAGAAATGTTGGAAGTTCTGTCTGCAAAGCTGTTACTAGCCTCACCTTAGCATGGTGAAAATGTACCGAGGGCTGGCTGCATCCTTGCCACCGTGAAGCCGTGTACCAAATTGACCAATGGGCTGCAGAAGGCTGATGTTATTACTGCCCACAAAGTTCTGAGCTAAGCCAACAATTGTCATCATAAGGGATACCTGATTTTAACAGAAAATCATCAGTTAACAAAAAAGCATTACAGGTTTCCATTATCACAATAGGTTGAGCCAAAAGAAATGTTAAAAATCTATTTAAGATCAATTATTTGTAGGCGTGAATGATAAATTACTATGGTAATTATGCACCTTATCAATACTCATCAACTTATTTTAGTGGTCAGAGCTTTAGCTAGCATGAGTGAGAAAATGTATGCCCCTAGTGATCACCCAAGCATGCTGTTACATTAATTCCTGTTCTAGCACCTGAATACAATTCAAAATCAGCCAGAAGTTTTAATTCATATTTCTGAGAACCCACATAAGCACGGCAGACACTAGACTGTCTCAAAAAATTCACATACAGGTTTGCAATTTTTCCACAAATCAAAAAATTTTTAGCCGACACTAAGGGTTAATCAACAGTCTTACCTCACCATGATGGTAGGCTGACATTTCAGCAATTGAACCAGCCAACTGGGCAACTTTGACCTCACGTTTGTCATTCCGCTTGAAGCAAGTAAACAGGACCTTGCGCTGACCTGGTTTGAGGCCTGTATTATTGAAGATACAAAAGTTACCACAGTAAGTTACAATTAAAACAATTGTTTCAAAAATAATAATAATCCTTGCATTTGATATAGCGCTTTTCACGTCGGGAGGACGTCCCAAAGCGCTTCACAGAACACACTGTAGAGTGAATTGACTGTATATTTGTGGGCGAACGCGGCAGCCAATTGCGCACAGCAATGTCCCACAAACAGTCGTAGATTGAAAATGACCAATTTATTATTGTTTTTGGTTTTGGAGGGATTATTATTAGGCTCTGTGTGGAGTAAGGAAACTTGCCCAAGGTTTCGCCCTCTGCCTGGAATTGAACTCAGGTCTCTCACTTGTCTCTCACCACTGAGCTACAGGACTCCACAAATGATCTGAATTGATTTTTCTCATCTTGAAACAACAAATTCCGTCTGTTTCTCAAAGATTACATTTTCTCCTTTTGGGAAGAATTCCTAGTATGTTAAATTTTTTTGTAAAAGGCTTACCATCCACAAGTGATGGAATTGATCTCTCATTGTCAGAGTTTGAGAAGAGAACCAGCTCCTTATTGATGAAGTCATTGTAAGTCAACTGTTTGGTTTCTTTTCCGTATAAGTAATTCTGTTAAGAGTTTAAACAATTCAGTTGTTAAAGGTACAGCTAAGAGGAACAATGTAAACAATGATACTCCATACTCATACTCCATTTGTTGCATATCAGTGAGTTTAACTTTCTTTAGTATTAGCTTAATGATACAATATTGCAAAAAAGTGTGCGCCAAACATCAGGCACGTGTGCTATGCGAAGGAGAATTTTAAAAGGACATAAAAGCCATGGATGATCACTTCACAAAAGTAAAAGAAAGTGAACGTCACACAAGATATTCCAAATGGGATTCAGCCATACCTCTGCCAATCCATAAAGTCTGCGCTGTCTTCTGTCTACCATGAAGTTGGTCAGCCATTCTTTACGTTCCTCTATTTTTTTCTTGCTAAAGGCCTGAAGTAAATAAAGTAGTTCGTTTAAGTACTGTGTACATGTTTGGCAACACATAAGACAATCAAAACTAAAATTTAAAAAATTGGAGAATATACTTACCAGGGTGATTGCAGCATCATCTTTAGCCCCATCATACCTGAAGGGGATGCGATGTCTCTCCATCTCAGCAAAATATTCCTTTGCCTCCTTAGCTGTGCTGGTACCCAAACCTAGCAGATTGAAATTGAATAATTAAATGTAAACAAACGCAAGTCTCTCCATTATCTCATTTCGGCCACAATTGAAAATGAAGGAAACGTTCCACGTGGCTCCAGTTTAAAAAGATAATGATTCAGGCATCACATCTCAATAATGTCATCTGTTTGCAGCAAACAGACCTAATCCATATGGCTAATCCACCTCAGTATTCCAGCCCGGATTTCCAAACGTACTGCGGCACTACATAATACCATACAGCAAACTCGGTATCCACAATTCCCAAAAGGCAAGTTCAGTAATGTCAGATAGCCCGGTAGAAGAACATAGTGAAGAGTGAAAGCTAATTGCTATCCAAAGGGAGAGGCACACAATGCAAAATGAGACAATCAGACTGTGCCCTGGGAATTAGTCAATGTTCTAAGCCACAGGATAGAGAAAATTAATACAATTTATTTATTCATTTTAACCAATCTTTTTTGGTTTTCTCTCTCCCCATGAACAACCCAGACGTAAACCTAAAGTGAACATCACCACAAAATGGATCCCAGGGATCAGAGTAAAGTGCATAATAAAATGAGCAGGTTCTTACATGTCTCAGTGAGAGCACTACCACACAGGGTTTTAGAACAAACCTTTGTAGTACTTTATTTTCCATGTTCTGCTGTTTTCAGTATTTTGTTTCCATCCCTCAAATTCCGGAATACTGTAAAATGGTATTTCCTGCTTGTTTTTTGTTGCCTGCAAAGATCAGAAGCTCACTACATTGTATCAACAAGTTCAGTGTTGAAGTGAACTCATAGAAACTAAAGTAAATTCTTCCCAAGATTAGGGCATGGATTGGTTACACATTGGAGCTTAATCCAAGACAACAATAATTCATCATTTTGTTTCCTCAAAACAATAATCCATCATGAAATTGTTCAAAGAACCCAAATGTTTGACAAACCTTTACAATTGGAGTGATGAACTCCTCTAGGAATTTGTGCTTGAGGAGGGAAGGCCAATTGTGATGAATAAAGTTGATCAACAAGCCTTTAATATGGGAGCCATCTTGATCCTGCAAAAGATGGTCATGGTACCTCAGAATTCAACTTAAAAAGTTGGAAAATTCTATTAACTTGCATACGTAAGGAAAATGAATGAAAATGACCTGATCTGTCATGATCATTATTTTTCCATAGCGAAGTGTCTTAAGAGACTCCTTGTCATCGTAATTCTTCTTGTACTGTAGACCAATGATTTTTATGATACTGTTGATTTCAGCATTTTCCATGATCTGTAATGAAAGAAAATAGTTTAAGAATCTAATAGTTTTCCTGAAGATACTACCCACTGAAGTGCACAGTTCATCAATTATGAATCACCATAAACTTTAACAGACGAAGAGATGTGGAGTGGATGGATGAAGAATTAATCTCTTCCTCCCCTCCACCAGTTGGGCAACAATAAAGCCACTAAGATGGGAAAAGAGTGTGTAGGGAAAGAGAGGTGGGCATTTAACCTAGAATTAAGCCAAGGCAGAATTAGGGTCAATTTAAACAACAGTTGCAGGTGAGAGGATGATGAGCCTGGATTGGTTACCAAATGTTCGATGGAGACTGTGGTCAGATGCTTGGATGAGATTTGAACCAGATGGATCTACAAACTACATTTTGTTCATAACTACAAGAGGGGTTGTCCTGGAGAAGAGCGATCAGGCATTTTATACTGTGCTCAAGCTATAAGGATTAGAGGCTAAACCATGCGCTATGACTGCTTATCCAGGACATTAAGTACCAAGTAAATAACGTGAGCTATATGAACATTGTTAATACTAGTTTAGACATATACCTGTTTGTGTGAAGCTTCTCGAACGTTGAGCATTTTGCCTCGAAGGGGAAATATACCATATCTATCTCGTCCAACAACTCCCAGACCTGAGACAGCCAATGTTTTGGCTGAATCTCCTTCAGTTAGGATAAGGGTGCAACACTGAGAATTCTTACTTCCTAAGGAAAATAATAATTTTCACAAATTAAACAATTTTCACTCAAAAGGCGCTATACAAATATAATCTTGTTGTTGTTATACTGTTCTTCCATGTATACACATTATTATGTTTTAACCAACTTGTATTAATCATGGAAACTTTTGGGGGAATCAACAAAACAAGGGCAAATTTCCATTAAACAGACAATATACCCAAAAGGAACACAACAAATAATAAAGATCCCCACTTTACATAGAATCATACAGCACAAAAGGAGGCCATTCGGCTCATTGTGTCTGTGCTGGCTCTTTAAAAAAAGAGCTATTCAATTCAATCTTACTCCCCAGCGATCTCCCCATAGCTCTGCAAACATGTCTCCCCCAAATAATTAACTACTTCTCTCTTAAAAGTTGTTAACGAATCGGCTTCCACCAGCCTTTCAGGCAATCATTTGAGATCCCAACAACTCGCTGTGTGAAAACATTTCTCCTCGGTTTCTTTTAACAACTATTTTAAATCGGTGTCCTTGGGTTACCGACTCACCCGCCAGTGGGAATAGCTTCTCCTTGTTCACACTATCGAATCCCCTCATCATTTTAAAAACTCCTATTAAGTCTTTCTTAACCTTCTCTGCTCCAAGGAGAATAATCCCGGCTTCTCAAGCCTCCCCTGATAACTTAAGACCCTCATTCCTGGTACCATCCTGGTCAATCTCCTTTGCACCCTCTCCAATGCCTTGACATCCTTCCTCAAGTGTGGTGCCCAGAACTGAACACAGTCTCTAACTGAGGCCGAACCAGTGTTTTATAAAGGTCAGTATTGGTCAATAATTTCCTGACTTTTGTATTCTATGCCTCTCTGTATAAAGCCTAGTATCCCGTATGCTTTTTTTTAAAAAAAACAGCTTTATCTACCTGTCCTGCCACCTTAAAAGATTTACTTATATGAACTCCCAGGTTTCTCTGCACCTGCACTCACTTTAAGATTGTACTGTCTAGCTTATACTGCACACTTCCCTCCAGTCAGAAAAAACAACTGGTCACCACCACTCTCTGCTTTCTGTTTCCCAGTCAGTTGTGTAACACTGTCTATTTTGTTTACAAGTGGGAATGTACTTGTTCTGTCCCTGAACTACCTCCTCCTTGAAGGTTTCCCATTGCTCGTTAGCTGTTTTACCTGCCAATCTTTTTTTCAAGTCCACCTTGGCTTGGTCCCTTTTTAACTCACTGAAATTAGCCCTCTCCCAGTTGAGTATCTTCACCTTTGAGTGCTCCTTGTCCATTTCCATAACTATTCTAAACCTAATGGAGTCCTGTAGCTCAGTGGTTAGAGCACTCGCTTTGCAAGTGAAAGACCTGAGTTCAATTCCAGGCAGAGGGCGAAACCTTGGGCAAGTTTCCTTACTCCATACCCCTAATAATAATCCCTCCAAAACCAAAAACAATAATAAATTGGTCATTTTCAATCTACGACTGTTTGTGGGACATTGCTGTGCGCAATTGGCTGCCGCGTTCGCCCACAAATATACAGTCAATTCACTTTACAGTGTGTTCTGTGAAGCGCTTTGAGACGTCCTCCCGACGTGAAAAGCGCTATATCAAATGCAAGGATTATTATTATTATTATTAATGATGTTGTGATCACTGTTGTCCAGATGCTCTCCAACTGAAACCTGCTCCACTTGCCCCACTTCATTCCCCAGAACTAGATGCAGCACTAATTCCTTCCTCGTTGGGCTGGAAACATACTGCTCCAGAAAGTTATCCTGCATTTCATTTCAATAATCCTTCCCCCTCCTTGCCCACTGTTATTTTGCCAGTCTATGTTAGGATAATTGAAGACCCCCATTATCACTAACTTTCTTTCTTTCTGAAATCTGCTGCAGATTTGCTCATCTATCTCCTTCTCACTATTTGGTGGTCTATAGTATACACCTAACAGAGTAACAGCTCCTTAACTCTAACCAAATAGATTCTGTTTTTGGACCCTCGAGCACATCGTCCCTTTCCAATGATAATTGCATTGACACACTCTTCCTTGTGTGTCCCGTGTCTCCATTTGCTTTTGACTCCCCTCCCCAGAGGTGTCATCACCCTGACCAATATTCAGTACAGCGAACCGGTTTGTGCGTGCCACACTCTCAGGGGATTTCTGCACAGCCTGTCCCCACTTCCTACCATGCCGGATGGACACCCACTCCCTCTCCTTCTGAACCCTCTGTGGCTGTGGGGTGACCACCTCCTGAAACGTTCGATCCAGGAACTCTTCCACCTCCTGTATGCTATGTAATGACACCAGCCTCTCCTTGAGCTCAGAAACTCTAATCTCGAGCAGCCAGGGGCACTTCTACACGTGTCTGCGCAGGGCACAAAGCATCCTGGAGTTCTCACATGGCACACATTGTGCATGCAATAGGTCTCATCTGCCCTACCATATTCCCAGACACGTTTTATATTATTTTAATATAACTTACATATTTTATAATTATGCAGCTCTTCCCCTTCTGCACCTAATTCCCACTCTCACCATTCTTGTTTTCTTTATAAACAGAATTCTCTCTGTTCCACCTCACTCAGTTTTCTCATCACACTGCTGGGGTCTCTGCTCAAGTTTTTGTGCAACATTTCTACAATGCTCATTAAAAGTATAGGAACACAGACTACACTGTTCAGTTTATTAAGTCTGTTCACCATTTCATTAGATAATAATTGATCTGAAACTTAAAAACCATTATCAAAAGCAAAAATTATTATTTCACTGGATACCGGTGCACACAAAACATTCACCTACCTCCCTCTTATATACTTCAACTGACCTAGCATCTACAACAATTGGTGTAGTGAATTCCACATTTACACAACCCTTGATGTGAAAAAATGTATTCCAATTTCACTCGAATTGGTATAGCTCTAATTTGAGTCCCACTCCACCATCATAGGTAATATAAATAATAATCCTTGACATTTGATATATCAAATGCAACTGCGCCTTATCACATCTTCGAGACATCTCAAAGCGCTTCACAGAATTTACCGTAGAGTGAATTGACTGTATATTTTGTGGGTTAAACCCTGCAGCCAATTCTGCACAAGTGTCCCAGTTGTGGATTGAGTGACCAATTTAATTTTTTTTGAAGGAAAAGTGATCTACAAATCGACTATTACACTTGCAATCTGATCCAAAAGGTTGGGCCAAAGACACAAGTGCCATTCCAGAATACTGATTAGTACTAAATATCAGAATAATTTTAATCATACCAGCATCATTGGCATCATCCAGTTTGGGAATGCCCTTGATCTTGCTGTGTTTCACTCCTGAGCACTTCTTATTCAGCAAATTCTGTGCCTTAAATCGAACCCAATTCATGATGCTTTCAACCACACCACAGTTCAATGCCTACAACAGAAATTAAAAAGAAAAACAATCTATAATAATAATTATACTTGTATTTAATTAAAATTACACAAGTTTATTGGACTGAATTAATTGTTGACCTTCGGATTGGGCTAATTGTTAAAATCAGTTCATGTAATGACTTAAGAATCAATTCTGAAAGTCCATCAATTCTGAAAGTGTCAGTGATTTAGCCAAGAAATTATATTAAACTTAAAAATTTGTGGGTTTGAGGTTTGTAAGTTACCAATGCACAACACAACTAATCCAAATAAACCAGACACGGGCAAAGTGCACATACGCACGTTACCCATACATTAATTCTGAATCCTACAGGACGAAATTAAACAATTGACTTCAGTGTTTTGAGTGCCCAACTAAATATCACTCAAATTGTACTAACGATATACCAGGGCTTAAAGGGTTAAATTACGAGGACAAGTTGCATAAACTTGGTCTGTATTCGCATGAGTTTATAAGTTTGAGATTGAAGTGTTTAAAATGATAGAGATTCAACAGAAACAGAAGTTGCCTCGCAAGCGAAAAACCTGAGTTTGATTCCTGGCAGGGCGAAACCTTGGGCAAGTTTCCTTCCTCCACATGCCTGATAATAATCCCTCAAGAAAAAAAATTATAATAAATTGATCACTTCAATCCACATCTGTTTGTGGGATACTGCCTATGCGCAATTGGCTGCATTATTAACACCCACAAATATAGTCAATTCACTTTACAGTATATTCTGTGAAGCGCTTTGAGACATCTAGAAGATGTGAAAAGCGCTATATCATATGCAAAGACTATTATTATTATTATTACTATAATAAGTTGTTGGGAACACTCAACAGGTCAGGCAGCACCTATGGAGAAAGGAAAGTGAGTCAACATTTCGGGTCCAGGAACCTTCATCAGAACCGGGGCATGTTGGGAGGGGGAGGCTTTTAAGGTCCAACAGCCAACAGAGGGGAAAGGCAGGGCAAGGAAGACAAAGGAAAAAATAGGGTAGAGGACAGATGTTAAAGGAGGGGGAGGGGGGGAGATATAGCAAGAAAACAGGGGAATAGGTGTTAATAATGCAAATTTGATTTATTTTCCCCAAACAAATTTCCCTTTGTTTTGCATCATTAACATCTCTTTAACCCATCATCCCGTCCTCTACCCCATTTTCTCCTTTGTCTACCTTGCCCTACCGCCCCCACTCTCTGTTGGTCCTTTAAAGCTTCTCCTTCCTAACATGCCCCAGTTCTGACGAAGGGTCATGGACCCGAAAGTTGACTCAATTTCCTTCCTCCATAGATGTTGCCTGACCTGCTGTGCGTTCCCAGCGACATCTCTTTTTGCTTCAGATTTCCAACATCTGCAGTATTTTGTGTTTTGTTTTTAAAAACTTGCGCCAGCAGCCCAATTCAAGTTCTAAAATTAAATCAAAACCAAAACGCACCGCTTTGATGAACTTCTCTGACAGCAGGCATTTTGACCCAAAGCTCTTAGCTTGAAGGGTCATATTCTCTTTTGTCTGGGAGTCAAACGTTGGGTTTTCAATCAAACTGTTCACAAACACCCACAGGTGGTTCTTAACCTAGAAAATCAAATCAAGATTTAGTCACAAATATCCACATGAAAACAGAATTAAATTGATCATTTTTGAAAAATCATGTCTCTTCTCATTTAGAAAAAGACCTTAGTTCGGAAAGATAACAACAATTATGTATTTGATTGATGTTTATTGAAGTATTACCTGAAATGGCTTCACTGCAACACCACCTTTATTTTTCTTCTTAACAACCTCAATCAACTTGTTGACCAGCTGGTCAGTGACATAGTCAACATGTCTCCCACCCTAGAAATAAAATACAAGTCAATCTCTGGTCAATTTATCTCGTCGGCCACCTATAGCCTTACATGAAATGATTTTAAGTATTTAAATCTAGTTCCCTATCAATCTGAGCTGTACAAAAAACAGACAAAATGAAACTGTATAAACAATAATGCTCTTTGCAGTTCCTAATCAAAATTTGATTTGAATGTTTGCATTAATCATATTGTAATACTGTATGAACATACTATATTTGAAGCTCACCTTTGTGGTGGCGATGCTATTTGCAAAGCTTATCTGCTGAAATCCTTTCTCACTCATGGTCACACAAACTTCCCATCGTTCACTCACAACTTCATGGATCACTCTGAGTGGGCTGCCAGTTTCATCAACTTTGTCTTTTAAGTAAAGATCAACATAACTACGGAATCCAGACACCTGCAACAAACAGACAAGTCGGATATCAACAATTCAAAAACTTGCCCACAATTTGTTCCTTCAATTCAGAACGTGGAGTACTGTAGCTCAGACCTACTTTAGGATAGAGTATTCGTCTCACAATCTAAGAGACCTGGGTTCAATTCCCGGTAGGGCACAATGTTGGGGAAGTTTCCTTACTCCACACGCCTGTTTACCTAGCAGTAAGTAGGAACCCGGTATGTCTTATAGGATGGCTTTAAATAAAAACAAGCTTCTAAATAAAAAACTATCTTTTGTTTGAACTACAAAGATCTTCCCAGAACAGATAACCAGTATTTTCACTAAACAAACTTCCTTCAACAAGATTTTGCACCTCTTAAAAGGCATAGCTCTTTTACTCTTTACAAATTTCAATTTTGATGTTTTACCAAGTATTTATTTCAAGTTGGCTACTTCATAAATTAGAAAGGTCTTGATTATTATCCTTGCTGCACCCATTTCCAAGCCCATTTGTTAAACTTACAGGTAGTTTCTTTCCATTCAGGAAAACTTTAACTCCTTTGCAGGTTCCAGCAACATCATACGCTCTCCGTGCCATAATCGCTACAATATCTTTATCAAGGATCTGCATTTTGAATTTGGCTAAATCTGGTCGAAAGGTAATACAAGTGAAGTCATCGGCATCGAAGGGTTTGATTTTTGGCTCCTCCGCCGACCCCATGTTGCCCGTCCAGGTCTGCAAAGAAAAGGTTGAACAAACCAATAATATGGAATTCCGAACCTTTTTATTAAACATTAAGAGCGTAGTTTGGAAACTATTTTTGGAGAAATTAAAATGTAGGCCCAGCAGCATTTAACTGTAATACTGGACACAACAATTCCTCAAACCAGCTTGCGGATGTAGATTTAATGCACATATACCACAAACTACAGAAGAATGAATTTTATAAACGATTGTATTTCAGATTCATGTAAGGCTGCCTGCTACCTGCAGTTGCCAGGGCACTGAACTTACCTGTTTGAAAGACTTCTTGTATTCCCTGCAAGCAGTTTCTACTGTAAATTTTGTACTGAAAATATTACAGAGCTTCGCACCATAACCGTTTCGACCACCTGAAAGAAACAACACAGGTTTATCTTCTAAATAATGAGGACTTAAGTTGTGGAGTCCTGTAGCTCTGTGGTTAGAGCACTCGCCTTGCAAACCTGGGTTCAATTCCAGGCAGGTCAGGGCGAAACCTTGGGCAAGTTTCCTTACTCCACACGCCTAATAATAATCCCTCCAAAACAAAAATAAATTGGTCATTTTCAATCCACGACTGTTTGTGGGACACTGCTGTGCGCAATTGGCTGCAGCGTTCGCCCACAAATATACAGTCAATTCACTTTACAGTATATTCTGTGAAGCGCTTTGAGACGTCAAGATGTGAAAAGCGCTATATCAAATGCAAGGATTATTATTATTATTAAACATATTGAATATTTTGAAGCAAAGATCTCAGAAGGATATTGCATAGTGACACTAATAGAATCATGGTAGTTTACAGATGGGAAACAATTTGTTTCATTATGGCTGGAATACTAAAATAGAGTTATATTATTCCATTATTTAGTAGTATGAGAGATAGCTGTATATTTTCATAGTTAGCACCATTTTGCTTAGTGAATGGTTTTGGGATTTCCGATCCCTAGAGTTCGAAATATGACCCGACAATCCAAGATGGTGCAATAATTCTTTTAAAACAAACTTCAGGACGCTGGCAAGAATAATAATAATTATCCTCACATTTGATATAGTGCCTTATGACATAATTGAGATGTATCAAAGAGCTTCATAGGACATACTGTCCTTCTGGTACCAGAAGTGGAAGTACAATAATAATCCTTGCCTTATCATATCGTCACAGGATTTACTGTAATGTGTTTTTTGACTGGGTCTTTTGAGAATGAAATGCAGCAGCGAGTTGCACAAAACAAAGCAATGTACCACAAACAGCCATGGAGCGAGTGACCAATTTTATGTGGGGGATTGTTGGCCAGGACACTGGGAGAAACTCCCCTGTCTTTTTGAATAATGCCATGGGATTTTTGAATGTCCACTTGAACAGCCAGAAGGGACTTCAGTTTAACGTCTCACCCAGGGACCCTCCCTCCAGGGGGCCGCGAGACACAGCTTGAGAAGCCCAGCTCTGGACAAGCATTTCTCATGATACAAAACCCAGTCTTTGACCTATTTCACCCACAAAACAGATTCTCCAGACAATGACAGCACACAGATTTTACAAGGAGAATGTTTAGCCGTCCCACACATTCCTAGATGCTAGGCATTTTATAATTATGTTTCTGTTGAAAAAGGCACAAGTCAATATGATAAACATCCTCAGGTTAAAATGAAAAACAAAATTCTAAAGTTACCAGTGACTTTCTTCTGATCATCATCGTAGTTGCTAGAGGTCAGTAGTTGCCCAAAGATGAGATTGGGAACATAAACCTTCTCTACTTTATGCTGCACAACAGGAATACCCTTGCCATTGTTCCACACACTGACTGTGTTATTTTCACTGTGAACAAGAACCAAAAAAGTTTAATTGGTAATTATCTTACTAGCTGAAGAAAATGCAACTATTGAATAAAGTGGAATGGTGAGAGTGGTGAGTTGGGTCTGCTGAGAGACTAACTTGAAAAACTTGCTAATTGACTGTATTTTGTGGGTGAAACGCGCAGCCAATTGCTCACAGCAGTGTCTCACAAACAATAATTTTTTAAAAGGAATTATTAGCCCTGCAAAAGTGATCAGTCAATCAACTAACAACCGGATTACTACTTAATGCTAGGTAAACAGATGGGAAATGAAACTTGCCCAACGTTTTCCGTTGCCCAAGAATCAAACCCAGTCAAGTTCTCTAACCACTGAGCTACAAGCGGTAGTTGATCGATAAAATTCCAACCTGTCTTCTAAGAGGTAGTTGAGATAGTTGGCCAGAGTTTCTACATTCACTGTGCATTTGCCCAGATGACCCGTAGGAAGCTTGCCGTGCCGGTAGCGGCTACCCGATGCAATGACCCAGAAATTAGCCATTTGTCAGCATAGGAGCCATCTCGCTAAGGTGAATGGGACCCACATTCCACTGGAACTACAAGTCAACCTGTGCTACAACAAATAATGGCTTCTACTATATTCAGTTTTATAAACCAAGACATTATTACAAACATAGGGGGAAAAAATCCACAAGTTGCAAAATATTAAACAGACTTACGGATCAATACTGATTTTGATACAGGTCATGTGTTTATCCCTCTGCTTGTTATCTGCTGCATTCACTGTGTTTTTAAAAAAAAGCTATTTTACCATCAATTCAACCTTACTTTTGAAAATGACAAATTCATTCAAAAATGTACACTTACCTAGAATTTCATCAAATATCTTATACAAGCCAGGAACAAAAGTCACTTCCCGGTTATTCATGCCATCTTCATCATATACCCACATTTGCTACAAAGGTCAACAGATAGATCATATTTAGAATGACAACAATATTTAGCAATTTTGAACAAACTTAATATAGTAAACCTCAAATAATTCGCATCAGTTGGGACCATACATTTAATATTACTTATTTAAATAATTAACTCATAAGTATTTAAGTATGAATCATGTGAAACTTGCACAAGTCGTATCATATATGACTTACGTAAAGTTATTTACAGATTGGATTTTATGTGACTTACACATAACAAATACATATGTACTGAACTGTCTGGTGACAACAATGCAAGGTTTCTGTACCATGTTTAACCTATGCATTTTAAAGCCTATTCTTTCTATATACAGTACTGCACCTCAAGTGCAGAAAACATGTTCTGGCAACGATGGCACAACAACAGCATTCAGCAAGCCCAGTTCTACAAAAAATCCTCTTATTATTGATCTTATTAATCAATAAGCACACCTCCATTAATAGAATTAAATGAGTTAATGACTGAAGAAGCCTGAAACATAATTCTTAACACTTTGATCCCTGTAACCCAATCTACCAAAATTCTGCAAAATGGTTCAGTTCTGTACCTGTGTAACTGGCTCCACGGATCCAATGTAACTGTCAGGGCGGAGCAAAATATGCTCCAATTGAGTTTTTTTCTGGTAAATTCTTTCCACAGACAGCCTCCGAGAATCATGGTCACCTTTCTTCGTCTTATTTGCAGCCGAATGATTAGAAAACAAAGGCTGCGTGTGCACAAAAAAGGCAGATTAGCGCAAGTAGTTCAGAATTATTGATGGACTATAGCAGAACACAAATAATACAATGAATATGGGGAACTGACTCTTCTGTTGACTTAGTGCTCCGATAGGTCAAGCCTGTGAGGCACCTGAAGGTGAGGATGAAGATCTTAAATGTGAACCACAGAGATATGTAGCCAGTCAACGGGAGGGAGTGCTGCCTGCAAAGTTATGAATGATCTGGAATTTGTGGAGGATAGAGCGCATGATCGAGGGGTTTGGCAATGACAATGGTGTGAACAACAAAATTACATTTGTATAGTGTCTTGCACGTCAGATTCTGGATGTATTGGGAGAGATAGACGTTTTTATTCATCCAGAACTCTGCAGCCCGTGTCTTCTGCCATACCAGGCTCCGTGACCCTATCACCCCCATCCTCACCCGACTCCACTGGCTTCCCATAACACAAAGGATACAGCTCAAGATCCTGTTCCTCACCGGCAGGCCTTCAGCCACTCTGCCCCCACCCTCTGGAACTTTATTCCGCATCCCTCCGTCTCGCCCCCTCCCTTGCCTCCTTCAAGACCCACCTCTTTTACTGTGCTTTCGATCACCCTACTTACACCCCTGCCCTCCACTCCCCGATCCTGACCCCCAGCTTGGGTCGGAAACACTGATTGTACAGCGCCTTGGGACATCCTCCCAACGTGAAACGGCGCTATACAAATGTAATTTTGTTGTTGTTGTCTTCACATTTCTCCAAGAATCTGTGACATTTCAGATACCAGCTGAGCAAACCTCACTCTTTTTGGGCAGTGACAATGACACATGTAAAACCCATCGTCATGGAGCCTCCAAACAAAATCCATGCATCTCCCTACACATTGGAATTCCCCCGTGTACTGGAACTGAATGCGCACTCGCTCCCTCCTGACCTGCTCACACCTCCAACTTTAAAAATATTGGTCAATCAAACCACGACTGTTTGTGGGACACTCCTTCGTGCAATTGCCTGCTGTGTTTCGACGACAACATATGCAGTCAATCCACTTTACTGTGTATTCTGTGAAGCGCTTTGAGACGTCTTGAAGACCTGATAAGGCACTGTATCAAATGCAAGGATTAATATTATTATTCCTTTTTTGCTCAGCTAATGCCGGGCGTCCCACCGAACAGCACCAGCGTGATTTGGTGACGAGATTGTCTGAGGGGCAAAGGGATCAAATGCTTGTCCAAATTCTTCCAAGGACACAAGCATTTGAATTCTCAACAAGGAACATTTGAATCCAAGCATCCCGCCTTTCATGGAGGAGATGAGATGGCTGCCCAGAGACTAGCAAATGGTTGCCAGGTTTTGGGTGAAGAGGCACAAACGCAACAAACTTTCTTGGATTTTAGTTTATCAGAACTTTAAAACCTTCCCACCACTTCTGATTTTTTCTTAGTTGGGACAGTGTCGTGTACATTTGAACAGAGTACAACAACAAAAAGCTTGTATCACTCCTTTCACGCCAGGAGGAAGAACACTCTGCAAACCTACAGGATTACACCTCCACCTCAAAAAAATACACTTGTGTGTGTGTGTGTATATACATATATAAAAAGAGAAAGTGGGATGGGGGAAAGAGAAGAATCTTTGCTTCGTTATAAGAAAGGCGGGTGTGGGGAGTCTGCAGTCAAAGCCACAACAAAGAAACACACTCCTTCCCCGACATAGGCGTTGGATTCACTTCCCGCCTAATCTCAGAACCTCGGATAAATGTGAAGAGAAAATCGTTTGCTGCCCCAGTCACTAACAACACTTTTATGGCTTTAACATGAGGTGAAGTTTCAAATAAAACAGGACAGAGCTTTACCTCGCGCCTTTATAATTAATAAAGTCAGACAATGAGAAACGACCTCCTCAGCCTCCCCCCAACAAGGATCACCCCCCCCCCAACAAGGATCACCCCCCCAACAAGGATCACCCACCCCAACAAGGATCACCCCCCAACAAGGATCACCCCCCCCAACAAGGATCACCCCCCCCCAACAAGGATCACCCCCCCCAACAAGGATCACCCCCCCCAACAAGGATCACCCCCCCCCAACAAGGATCACCCCCCCAACAAGGATCACCCCCCCAACAAGGATCACCCCCCCCAACAAGGATCACCCCCCCAACAAGGATCACCCCCCCCAACAAGGATCACCCCCCCCCAACAAGGATCACCCCCCCCAACAAGGATCACCCCCCCAACAAGGATCACCCCCCCCAACAAGGATCACCCCCCCCAACAAGGATCACCCCCCCAACAAGGATCACAACCCCCTCCCCTCCCACAGACATAATAAACAGACATGTGGACTCGCTACAGAGCGCGGGGTATGAGCGAGAAGCGGGCACTTACCCTCAGGGGGCTGGAGTTGGGGCTGCAGGACAGCTCGGTGGCCATGAGGTGATCGGGGAAAAACGGGCTTCACGTAACGACGAAAAAAAGAGGCGCGAGCGGCCCGGGAGAGAGAGAGAGAGAGAGAGGGGCTCGAGTCCTGGCGAGAAGGTCCGTAACAAGTGTGAGTAGCAGTGACTGACTGACTGGATGCCCGGGTGGGTGACTGACTGGATGCCCGGGTGGGTGACTGACTGACTGACTGGATGCCCGGGTGGGTGACTGACTGACTGACTGGATGCCCGGGTGGGTGACTGACTGACTGACTGGATGCCCGGGTGGGTGACTGACTGACTGACTGGATGCCCGGGTGGGTGACTGACTGACTGACTGGATGCCCGGGTGGGTGACTGACTGACTGGATGCCCGGGTGGGTGACTGACTGACTGGATGCCCGGGTGGGTGACTGACTGGATGCCCGGGTGGGTGACTGACTGACTGACTGGATGCCCGGGTGGGTGACTGACTGACTGGATGCCCGGGTGGGTGACTGACTGACTGACTGGATGCCCGGGTGGGTGACTGACTGACTGACTGGATGCCCGGGTGGGTGACTGACTGACTGACTGGATGCCCGGGTGGGTGACTGACTGACTGACTGGATGCCCGGGTGGGTGACTGACTGACTGGATGCCCGGGTGGGTGACTGACTGACTGACTGGATGCCCGGGTGGGTGACTGACTGACTGGATGCCCGGGTGGGTGACTGACTGACTGGATGCCCGGATGACGTAGCCGTTGGGCGCCAGATTTTCAAAATTTTCCGACCAGCCCCGCCCCTTCCACAGCTCCAGCCAATCAAACTGCCGTCGCCCAAACCCCGGCCAATCCATGGCACACACTACATTCAAACGGCTCCCAACCGTCCCTGGGCGCACGCTGATTGGCTCCTCCCCACCCGCAAAGCAACACGGGAGTTGTAGTTTGAGTGCAAAGCTTTAGTCAGTTAGCGTGACACACAGCAACATCCCACAAACAGCTGTGAAGCCATGGGCTTCCCTGGGGTGCTGTTGGCCGGGTCACCAGGAGAGACATCCTGGTCAATATCCACCTCAACAGGCACAGGTGCGTCCTTGGTTTAACGACTCATCCGAAGGACGGTCGAAGAGAAAGGTCTTCAGCTGTAAGGATCTGGGTAAGGACAGGGCAAGGCGGAGGGGTTGAGGAAGAGAACTCCAAAGCTTTGGGGCATAGTGGCTGAAAGCCAAGGCTGAAGGGCGGTGGAGCGGAGGGGACGAGGGACAAGCAGGAGGACAGCACCACTGAGCGGAGGCAGAGGCGGAAGGTGATGGAGTGAGGAGTAAATATGTCGGAGGGATAGGGCGGTTCTCGGGTGTGAAGGCATTTGCAGATAAGTGTGAGAATCTTGAAGTTGATTCGTTCTGTGATAGGGAGCCGATGGAGCCTGGTATGGACTGGTTTGATGGGGGCACAGATTTGAGAGCGAGTGAGTACACAGGCGGTGGAGTTTTTAATTAGTTGGTCAGTGGAGCTGAGGAGGAGGGCCGTGGAATCATCAAGGCGGGAGGTGACGAAAGCACATGAGGTACTGTTGGAGGTGGGCAATGTGATGGAGTTGGAGGAAAGTGGTCTTGGTTAAGGACGAGATGTGGTGTAGGAAGCACAGCCCGGGTTGAACCTGATGCCTGGGTAACATACCGGTTCAGTAACTATTAGGGAAAGGCTGAGCAGGTCAGCGCTACAGGAGAGAAGACTGACGGGAGCCAAGCAGTATGACTTTTGTCGACTTTCAGCTGCAGGAAGATTACGCTTATCCAGGCCTTGATGTCTGACAAACAAGCTGACAGAACAGCAGACCTTGGATAATCAAGTTGTAATCAAACCAATTGTAACCTAAATATCTATCTGAAATGCTTTACTTTCTTATGTTTCTTTTACTTTGAATTTGATATAGTACCTTATCACGTCTTTGAGACGTCTCAAAGCACTTCACAGGATATGCTGTAAAGTGAATTGACTGTATATTTTATGGGCAAAATGCAGCAGTCAATTGCACACGGCAGTGACCGATAAACAGTCGTGGATTGAAGTGACCAATTTATTATTATTTTTTAAGGAATTATTACCCCCGGAAAAGCGATCCACCAATCGACTAACAACCGGGTTCCTACTTACTGCTGGGTAACCAGAGGCGTGGGGAATAAGGAAATTTGCCCCTATAGAGTATTTGTTCATTACAGTCTGCACCTATCGCTCAAGCCTCCAATTCTGTTCTCACGCAACTGCTTAATCTTATTTTTTTAAGGAAATACAACCATGAGAAATAGCAAACCTCCCTGGCAACTCTAGATGATGACTGCATATTGAAATCACAAAAACAACAACTCTGGAAATTGCTTTCACCCTTTATGCAGAAGAAATTTCAATTTTTAAAAGTTGTGCTTCAAAGGGTTAGTAATAAGAGAATGAGTGAGGGGTGTAAAGCAGAGAAAGGATTGATAAATGAAAAGATCAATTGAGTTTTGAAATGATTGAGAGAAGCATTGTATGGAAAACCAAGAAGAAAGCAAATGAACTGTGGAAACTGTAATGACTGTAGTGAGCCATGAAATTGGATTGAACGTGAGAGGGTTTTAAAGAAAATATGTTACCTAGAATAGATGCTTACAGTGAGGATGCATGGATGAGGAAGATCTGATGGAGGTGTTCAAAATGATGAGGGGTTTTGGTCAGGTAAACAGGGTGAAACTATTTTCACTAGTCTGTGAATGATTACTGGAGGTCATCAATTTTAGATTATTATTTGAAAAGGGAGCTTAGGATAAACATTGCAGAGAAAGAGTGGAGGAATGAGATTGGAGTAGACAGTTTTGCAGGGCACAGATACAATGGCTGAAATTGCTATGATTTTATCACATTGGCTTTCTTTTGCAAAATATTTATTAATTTTCTCCCCTCTTTAATTAGCTACATCATGGACACCCTATTATTTTATGTACTTTGACTTCTTTACTCCTCATCTGAACTCCGCCCCTCTGGCCTACCTCCCGCACCTCACTCTCTCTCTTCCACAACTCCCACTCCACCACTCTTGACGCCCTTGCTCCCCTCACCTGAACCGCCTCCTACACAAGAACCTCACCCTGGTACACCAGCCACCTCTGCTACCTCAAGGTTCAGGTGCGGGACACTGATTGCACCTGGCTCAATTCTGACCTAATGGTCCACTGGCAGATCTGGCTGGACCACATCAAAACGTACTGCTCCACCATCGCCTCCGCCAAATCATCCTTCTATTCCAAGATAATCTTAGAAGCGAAGGACAACTCAGGGCTCCTAATCTCCATCACCAACCAACTTCTCCATCCACCCTCCCACGCCTCGCCCATTCCCTCCTCAACAGCAACAATAATAAAATTACATTTGTATAGCACCTTTCACGTCGGGAAAGGCGCTGGACAGACAGAGTTACGGACCCGAGCTGAAGGTTGGGGTCGGGGTGGGTGGAGATCAGTGGGGGAAAGAGGGAGATCGAAAGCACTGTTGAAGAGGAGAGTCTTGAGATGGGTCTTGAAGGAGGCAAGGGAGGGGGCGAGGTGGAGGGACTCCGGGGTGGAGTTCCAGAGGATGGGGGCAGAGTGGCAGAAGGCCCGGCCGCCAATGGTAGGGCAGGTGAGGCGGGGGACATGAAACAGGCCAGAGCCTGCTAAGAGGGAGTGGGCAGGGGTTTAGGAGGTTGCAGAGGTAGGGGGGAGCGAGGCCATGGAGGGCTTTCAAGGAGTTGGGGAGGCCGACATGTAAGTCAAGCCTTGATGTTATGAATGTGCGTATATAAATAAATAGTATGTAAATAAAGGCAGCAGAATAGAGGAGCGAGAAGGCCCTGGTTCCTCGCTTGAGAATTGTGGGAGATAGTAGTGCCCGACACAGGATAATGGGCGCTTCTTTGAAAATATTGAATTTGAAGTGGATGTTTTTTTCTATGTTACAGGTGTGTTTTCCTTCCACAAGGAATGTATTGTTTATATAATTTCTTGGGGAGCGCTGGCCTCAAATGTGAATAAATACAGCAGTCGTCCATTTTCCTAAATTTGGCAGGAGAAGAAGCGAGGGATTACTTTGCAATTACAGAGATAGATATGGACATGCCATTAGATGAGATGAGAAAGGTCATGCGGGAAAGATGCTGTGGATATTACAATGTCACAGTAGATAGATATAAATTTGGAACAAGGAAGCAAGGGCCTACGGAATAATTTCATCAATACTGTGTGGTATTACCCTCACTCAGTAAAACATGTAATTATGGAGCTTGAAGAGAAAAGATGATCAGAAACCAAATTGTGATAGGATTGAAAGATAATAAAATACATAGCAAGCTCTTAAAAGAGGAGATTTTAACACTCCAAAAGCTCTGAAAATTGTCGGTATAAAAATAATGGCCAAAGCATACATGGGGGACATTGTTAGAAATACAGAAGGTCTGATGGAAATTGATGAATTAGCTAAATGAAGAAGCTGGGATGATTCAAATGAGGAATGTGGAGTATGGAAGATATACAGGCTTAAAGGCAAAGAAATATAAAGGAAACATGTGGGAAGTGTGGATTAGTACATCCTTTTTGGAGATGTTCAGCAGAAGGAAGAAAGTGTTATATGTTTCATCGGTATGGGCACCACTCAAGACAATGCAGAAATGGACAAAGAACCCTTAAGGGGCTATGGCAGAGGAACCCAGGAGAAAAGGTGTACAGGACAAAATGAGTATAGAAGGCCAAATGAGCCACAGTGAACTAGAATAGAGCAAATAAGATCAAGGCAATATGAAATAAGGGACAATTCGGATATGGAATCCGAAATGACTGAACAAGAAGTATAATATTGATGCAGTAAAAATCATTAAGAGACTGCATACACGAAAAGAGAAAAAGGAGTGGATGATGTCTCTGTGGTGAACAGAAGAAAGGAAATGCTTAAGGTGCCAATTGGATACAGGATCTCAGACCAGTGTAATGTGGTTAGAAGAGAATATACAGCTGGGAGAACCCAATAAAGACAAATTGAAAAAGAGGAAATGCCGACTATTGGCCTATAATAACAACAACAACAAAATTACATGTGTTCAGCGCCTTTCATGTCGGGAGGACGTCCCAAGGCGCTGGACAGACAGAGTTTCGGACCCGAGCTGGGGGTCAGAGTTGGGGAGGATGGAGGGCGGGGGGGGGGAAGCAGGGAGATTGAAGGCATGGTCGAAGAGGAGGGTCTTGAGATGGGTCTTCAAGGAGGCAAGGGAGGGGGCAAGGCAGAGGGACTGCGGGATGGAGTTCCAGAGGGTGGGGGCAGAATGGCAGAAACCCTGCTTGCCAATAGTGGGGTGAGCAAGGTGGGGAACGTTGAGTAGGCTGAGCGGAGGGAGTGATCAAGATGGTAGGGGGTTAGGAGGTCACAGAGTAGGGGGGAGCAAGACCATGGAGGGCTTTGAAGGTGAGGACCAGGATCTTGAACTGAATTCTCTGTGTGATGGAAGCCAATGGAATTGGGTGAGGATGGGGGTGATAGGGTCACGGAGTTTGGTGTGGGAGAGGACACAGGCTGTAGAGTTCTGGATGATCTGTAGCCTGTGAAGGGAGGAGTTGGGGAGGCCGACAGGCAATGAGTTTGCAAGCTTGAGTCTTGATGTAATGAAAGCATGTATGAAGGTTTCATAACCAGTGTTTTATATCGGTTAATCGTAACCTCCTGACTCTTGTACTGTATGCCCTATTTATAAAGCCTAGTATCCCATATGCCCTTTTTACAGCTTTATCTACCTGTTCTGCCACCTTCAAGGATTCATTTACCTGCACCCCCAGGTCTCTTTGTTCCTTCACACACCTTAAGATTGTATTACCAGCCTGCATTGCCTCCCCTCATTCTTTCTTCCAAAATGCATTATCTCGCATTTCTCTACATTGAAACTCATCTTCCATGTGTCGCCCATTTTACTATTCTGTCTATATCTTCCTGCAGTTGGCTCCTATCCTTCTCACTGTTTACCCCCTACCTAACTTTATGTCGTCCGCAAACTTGGAAATGGTACTTTCTATACCCAAGTCCAGATCATT